AAAACCAGGGGTTTTTGCTCCTAACCCGGAGGCATTGGCGTGGCTTCTGTCATCCTGGATTTTCAGTGACCTTTACCCACGCTCTGGGTGGTGCAGCCACATCCAAGGCAGTGGCTGAGCAATGCCCAGGGTGGCCGTGGTGCCACTGAGCCCAAGGAGCCACCTGCTGTGGCACTGCCAGCAGAGGCATGGCCTGCTTGGGAAGCGGTGTCCCCATCCGTCCCCTCCAGGACACACAGCCACCAAGGTCCACGCTGACTTTCCTGCTCAGGAGGAGCTGGAAGGGAAGGGCAGGGGCAGAGATCAGGAGGCAAATCTTGGCTCTCAAACAATAGCTATTGTGTAAATGTATTTTTACGTCTGTCCTAAAAAAACCCAAGTGATTTCGGTGTGTCCTAAAAGTTGCGGTTCGTTAAATGCCAGGATTTTTGTGGAATCGTAAAAGGGTTTGTGTTGGAAGGGACCCAAAGACCATCTTGTTCCACAGGCAGGGCCATCTTTCTCTATGCCAGATTTGTGCAAGCCCCATTGAACACTTCCAGGGCTGGGGAGTGGATATCCAGAGAAGATGGACACAGCATTTATATTACAGTGTCTGCACCTGTAGAAGTAAATAATTCTAAATCTTTTGATGTCCTGAGAGAGTGTGAGAGCTGTCAGGGCTGCCTGGGGGATGCCCTGGAGGGGCAGGGACTGGGATCACTGGGGTGGGACAGAGACCCTGGCCTGGGGCACTGGGCTCCCTGGTGGGGCCAGCCAGGGACATCCATGTCCAGGGACATCCATCCAACCCCAGCACAAACTGATTTGAGAGCTCCAGGTCATTTCAGTGAAGCAGTCAAATGAATCAAGTCTGATTTTGCTTCTTTCTTCGCCTAATTAGACAATGGGGAGATTTATGGAATAACTGAGCCAACTCAATGTAGCTGTAATTTGACATCTAATAAATCAATGTCCTGCTCCTTCACAGGTGCAATATAAACCCTTCCTAACTGCTGCAGGCATGTCTCTTGTTTCTGTGGAAAAAAACCCCAATCAAACCCCATTTCTTGTTTGCTCCTGCCCCTGGAGCACAGAAGCTGCAGGAATTCTGTCATTGCCTCCCAACAGCAGAGGTGACCTTGCTGGGTGCTCCCATCCCCTGATCCCATGGGACGGGCTCAGTGCAGGCTGCTGCAGGCACAGCTGCCTCCTGATGCTGCTAAGAGTTTGGGAAGCAGCTTTTCACACCAAAATACTCCTGGCTGCCCAGGGGGTGCCAAGGTCTGTCTGTGGGGAGGGAGGGAGGGATTGTGTTCCTGCAGCTGGCCGAGCCTGGGGAGGGCAGGGAGCTGCAAAGGAACCACCAGGACACACGGGGATCCAAGGAAAATCCTGGCCCTATTAGAGTTAACGGGAGTTTTGCATTTGACCTCAGCAAGGTCAGGGATTTTACCCAAGGAACATTAGTCAGCAGCAGCAGGATGAATTAGAGGAGTTGTCAACAAGAAGCAGGCAAGGTTGGTCCCACGGGTGGCTGAGCTCGGAATTGGAATGGCTGGAAAAATAATGTGCAGCTTATTCCATTTATCCCTGTGCTGTGTGCAGCACCTCAGCATTCCTCCCTGCTCTGCTCCAGCCCATCAGACACGCTGGGGAACGCTGGGTTTGGGATGGAGGGGAACTGTGTGGTCACATTTCCTTGGGAAGCTTCCCGGAGCCGGGCTCAGCTGTCCCAAAGCAGCCCTGGGCAGGCCGTGCTCAGCCCACGTTCCCATTCCCATGGAATCCCATCCAGCCTGAGTCCCACTGGCTGCAGGGTCCAGCCCAGGGATCCCTGGGCATTGTGTGCATTGCAGGCAGCTGGAAGCCAGTGCTGCTCCCTCCCTGCCAGGGGAAGCTGCTCCCCTGCTGTCCCCTGCACGAGGGGAGGTGACAGAACCCAAGGTGGGAGCCAGCCCTCCCCTGCCAGAGCCCTGGGATCATTCCCAGCTGAGCCCAGCTGGTTTTGGGTGTTCCTGAGGCCACACCCTCACCCAGACTCACATCCCTGAAGGATGCACGGGATGGGGCACAGGAGTCACGGGGGACATCAGCTCTTCAGGAAAACATGGATTATTGTCCTTGCAGAAACCTGCTCGTGGAAGTGGGAGCCAACATTTGGCAGGATTTGTTTCCTAGAGAAGCAAAGCTGATCTGTGAAACTTGGAGGGTTTGGAAATTGCTCACATTCAGGAATGAGCAGGGCCAGATTTTGGGTTGGTTTAGGTTAAACCCTAAAGCTGGGCCTGTGCCCCCAGGACGTGGGAGGGACTGGGGGTGCTGCTTTGGACTGGGAGCTCTCTTCCATGGCAGAGTCCTGGAGCTGTGGGCTCTGAAGAGGTTGTTTGCATCCAGCCCTTTTCCCAGGATGTGCCCAGGGAGCCTCAGTGAGCTCTCAATGCTGTCACTGCCAAGGACCAGGAGGGTTCCTGCAAGGGTGAGCAAAGCAGCAGAGAAAATACTGCACAGTCAGAGCTACCAACGTGTTCCTGGTGGATATTTAAATCCAAAATGTTTTGGATACTTAAATCCAAAGTGGTTCAGATATTTAAATCCAAAATGTTTTGGATATTTAAATCCAAAGTGGTTCAGATATTTAAATCCAAAGTGGTTCAGACATTTAAATCCAAAATGTTTTGGATAGTTAAATCCAAACTGTTCTGATACACATTTGAAAATGAACCAACAAAAGCTATTTATACATTTGCTTGAGAAGTTCCCTGCTCTCATTCTTCACTGCATTGATGATCTCTGTGTTTCTCCTTTTAGGAGGGTGACTGCAAGAGGCTGCCAGCTGAATTTCTGTTTTATTTTCCGCCAAGTTTTAATTGAAGTCAGGAGAAGTGTGGCTGGGCTCCCTATTTTAGGGAGTTATTTCCTGGCACAGCACCCAGGGTGCCTCTGACTCCAGAGCATCCCATATTGCTCCCATCAGGCTGGGGACAGGCCTGGGGACAGCAGGTGACACAGAGCTCTGTTGGTGACACCGTGACATCAGTGACATCATTCAGAGGTGGCAGGCTGGGCCTTGGCTCCCAGGGTAGCAAACACAGAGTATTTGGTGGGTAAAAACTGGTTTTGATGGCCAGCTCACCATTATCTGTGAACTCAGGGTGAATTGCAGGATGTGATTCTGGGACTCAAGGCAATAAATTCCAAGTTCTCACCTGTGAATTTACTTCATTCCCCACAGACCCAGTGGTTTGTCCTGAGGGCAAGGTGAGGACTTGCTGGTCCAGGTGTTGAAGATCAAATGGACGAAATCTCCTTTCCTCATCTCCCAGACCTCCTGTGGAAATCTCCCATTGTGTGTCCATCCTCAGCCTTGCCCTGCTGCTCTTCCATATCTTCTGTGACTAAATTTGGCTTTAACAAGGTTCTTCTGATCAGTCTGCCACATTCCAGGATCTGACACCCATCTCCATGTTTTAGTTGATACAAAGATTTTCAGGAATCTGAACATTTCACGTCTTTCCCAAGAGCTTTGGGAAGTCTGGAGCCAGTTTTGAGTTCTTTGGTTTTACTCCCCACCCTGCACTCCCTGTGCTGAGCCCACCTGTGGCTTCACCATCTCCCTGCAAGTCCCCTGAAGCACCACTGTCCCCTGGGGCCACCATAATGGGAAGTGATTAAAACTATGGGGAAAAAGCCAAGCAGGGGAAGGCAGAGTGAGACAGCCCAGGAGGAGAAAGCAAACAGCCTTTCCAGCTCAGCCTGGTTTCCCTGTCCATGGCAGTTCCTTGCTCCAAGGTGCAGGGTTTCTCCCCAGAGGTTTGAGGGTGTTTGGGTGGATCAGGCTGAGAACCCCTCTGTGCAGCTGCCAGGGCAGCAGAGCTCAGGCACCCCCGTGCTGCCAGCAATTGATTTATCCTCATTCTAATTGGGGTGAGTGCTCCTTCCCAAACGCTGGCACCTCACCTGTCAGGATAACAAGCAGCAGAGCTCTGGAGCCAGGGAGACAACGCCAGGAACACTCAGTGCTTGTGAGGGACCAGCTCCAAGGACAAACATTTGCATTTCGTGGGACAGCATTCCCAGCTTTGAGCCAGAACCCTGGGCAGCAGCCCCACCAAGGGAGCAGAACCCAACACCCTGGCAGAGCCCTCAGACCCCGCTCCCTCCACTCCCTTTGCAGCCTCAGGCCATCCTCCTCCTCCTCCTCCTCACACACTGCACAGCCAGACTGGGTAAGGCCAGCACCATCCCTGCTCCAGCCCTGCAGCCACTGAGTGTGGAAGGTACAGGAAAAAAAACAAACAGGTTTTTCCTCATTTTTCCACATTTCTGCCAACTTTTTTTTTTTTGCCAAAGATACATTTTTCTAGCTTGGAAAATTTCAAATTTTATTTCTACTCAGCCTTGAATGATCTCTGAGCTCATTTCATCACCTGCAGGCTTCTCAGTTTTTTTTTTTTTTTTGCCCACCTTTTTTCCTTTCAGTCTCTTCTACAGCACTTCCTCCACTTTGGAATCATTTGAAAGTAACAAAGAAAATCAAACAAACTGGGGGTTTTCCAGATTTGCAGAAATTTTGAAAAGTTACAGAATAGAGAAGAGAACTTAAAAAAAAAAAGGAAAATATAAAATTTACATTCAGTTACAAAGTAGAGCAGCAAAAGCAGGAAAAAGAGGGAAAATCAAACCAGTTAAATATTTAAAATTATTTTCCAGTCATACAAAATCTTTCAAATTTCCCAATTTAAACCTGAAAGCAGCAGCAGCACAGACACATAAAAACAATAAAAAGATAAAGTCCACCGGGATTAAATAAGGAAAATTAACTTTTTACATCGAGTTGATTGAGGAAAGCAGAAAGTCCTCACTGCTGGCATTCTCTTGGCAGTGTCCCACAGGCCCTGGGGTGGCCTCATGGCCGTCCTGTGGTGCCACTCGGGCAGGGTTTGGTGGCCCCGGGGTCACAGGTAGGGATTGGCCCTAGGGTCACAGGTAGGTGGTGGCCCCAGGGTGGTGGCCCAGGGTCACAGGTAGGTGGTGGCCTCGCGGCTGTGGCGCTGGCGGGCCTGGGCCACGGCCACGTTGAGGCACTGCAGCCACTGCTCAGCGTTCTTCTCGTCCTTGGCCTTGAGCACGTAGCTCCTGCTGTCCGTGAAGATCTCGAAGGCGCGGGGCAGGCTCCGGTCCCGCCGCTTCTTGGGCAGCACCTTCACGCTCTGCACCTTGCTCAGCTCGATGGGACACTCGTCAGGGTCGTCCTTCTGCAGCACAGGGGCAGGGCAGGGTCACCCGGGGAGGAACCACCCCTCACAAACTGCCCAGGGCTCTTGGCAGCGTCCCAGGCCAGCTTGGACAGGGCTGGGAGCACCTGGGACAGTGGGAGGTGTCCCTGCCGTGGCAGGGGTGGCACTGGAGGGGCTTTAAGGTCCCTTCCAGGCCAAACCACTCTGGGATTCTGTGAACTCGTCCTTCTTTGTGGAGATGTTCCCAGGTGCCACCAGCTGCTGCTGCCACATTGTGTGGCTGCCCTGTCCCTGGAAATGTCCAAGGCCACAGGGCTTGGAGCAGCCTGGGATAGTAGAAGGTGTCCCTGCCATGGCAGGGGGATGGAATGAGATGGTCTTTATGCCCCCTGGAAACTGGGGACTCAGCAGTGACAGCTCCTGGGCACCACTCTGGCTGCCCTTGGTGTCCCTGCCATGCACTTTGTGAGTGGGAAAACCACCATGGGCGAGCAAAGCTGAGGGGTGACAACCTCTGGGAAAAGCAGAAGAGCAAAGCTGAGGGGTGAAAGCCCATGGGGAAAGCAGAATGGGCAGGTGTGAGGGCTGCAGCCCCGGGAGCAGGAGCAGGGCAGGGAGCAGGAGCAGGAGCAGGGCAGGGAGCAGGGCAGGGAGCAGGAGCAGGGCAGGGAGCAGGGCAGGAGCAGGGCAGGGAGCAGGGCAGGGAGCAGGGCAGGGAGCAGGGCAGGAGCAGGAGCAGGGCAGGGAGCAGGGCAGGGAGCAGGGCAGGGAGCAGGAGCAGGGCAGGGAGCAGGAGCAGGAGCAGGGCAGGGAGCAGGAGCAGGAGCAGGAGCAGGGCAGGGAGCAGGAGCAGGGCAGGGAGCAGGGCAGGGAGCAGGGCAGGGAGCAGGAGCAGGGCAGGGAGCAGGAGCAGGGAGCAGGGCAGGGAGCAGGGAGCAGGAGCAGGGCAGGGAGCAGGAGCAGGGCAGGGAGCAGGGAGCAGGAGCAGGGCAGGGAGCAGGGCAGGGAGCAGGGCAGGGAGCAGGGCAGGGAGCAGGAGCAGGGAGCAGGGCAGGGAGCAGGGAGCAGGAGCAGGGCAGGGAGCAGGAGCAGGGCAGGGAGCAGGGAGCAGGAGCAGGGCAGGGAGCAGGAGCAGGGAGCAGGGCAGGGAGCAGGGCAGTGACTCTGTCACTCACGGATTTGCCCCTGCGGAACAGCAGCTGGTTGCCAGCCAGGGTGAAGTAGCGCGTTTTCCACCTCTTGATGAACTTCCAGCGGACCTGCTTCTCCTTCAGCTTGCCCTCCATCAGGGGCTGCCCGTCCTGGTTCACGCCTGGGCAGGGGGAGCACACGGCCAGGGTTAGTCCTGCCCTCCCTGTTGCCAGCCAAAGGCTCTGCCATGCTGCTGGAAGGTTGTGCTGCCTTCCTCATCCTCCCAACCTGCAGCATTCAGCTCTCACTTCACACAGACAGCTCAGCCCTCAGCTGTGTCCTGCTGGGGAGGCTGAGCAGATGGAGCTGACAGCTCACACCCCTCTTCCATCTCCTCTCCTGCTCCCTCAGCCATCCCAAACTCCTCCTCACTGCACCTCCCAGCTGCTCCCCAGCCCTGCAGTGCCCGTTTCTGGCCTTGGGCACTGCCAGGGATCCAGGGGCAGCCCCAGCTGCTCTGGGCACCCTGTGCCAGGGCCTGCCCACCCTCTCAGGAGGAATTCCTTCCCAGGATCCCACCTAACCCTGCTCTCTGGCAGTTTAAAGCCCTGATATGTCCTAGGGGTCTCTTTCCTTTCTCCTCTGTCTTCCCATCGATGTCCTGAACACACAGAGGACCAGCCAGACCAGAGGGCAGTGCAAGCACTGCAGTCTGAGCAGGGATGATTTGGACGGGGTGTTTGCCTTGGAGCCCATCCCAGCATCTGTCAGAGGGGCAGTGATCCCTGGCTGGCTCCTCTCCCAGCCCCCTGTTCCTCCAGCCCCACTTTTCCTTGAAAGCCTTCACTGCCACGGGCAGCTCCTGAGCCCAACGCTGCCCAGGTGCCACCCAAGGGAGTGCCAAAGCCTTTATGGCTTCTGGGCACCCTGCCCCTGTCTGGAAGAGGGCACACCAAGGCTAAGACAAGGCATCAGCTGTAGATAAAGGATGTGTCCTTCCCCCAGCGCTGTTTTCCTTGGCAGCGAGGCTGGCGGGGGGGGCTGCAGTGTGGACTCGTGCAATTTCCTCAGGAAAGACCATAAATATTTCTGTCTCTGCAGGCAGGGAGCGCCTGGAAGGAGATGGATGAATGGAAAGGGGGTTGGCAGAGCCTCAGTGCCGGGGGGAGCTGCAGCTGTGAGTGCCACGGCAGGAGGAGGCCGTGCTCTGCTCCACGCAGCCACTGCAGCCCTGGCTCCACAGCCATTCTGGGTGTTCCTGTGCCAGCACCAAACACAGCACCCAGCCTGCCATGGGACACAGGAAGGCACAGGCTTGCTTTCTCCCTGTGTAAATATTGTCACTGCAAAAGGGGATACATTCCCCAGGAGGCTGCTTTGGGGCTGCACCCTCTCCCCCCACGCTCTTTAGTGGGACAGAACCACACTTTAGTGTCCCCTGTACTAAAACCTTTGTAATTTTGTTAAATATTGTTCCCTGCCTGGCTCCTGGTTCCACAGGAACATCTTCAATCCCATTCCAGAGCCGTAGAAACATGCTTCAACCAAACTAGGAGGGGTGAAGCGCAAAAGGCTCAGGGACCAGATAATAGCGAGATAGTTTGTGGTCAGGAGCACAACATGAGAAGGGAAGTGAATGTGCAATTTTGGCCTAAAGTGAATTTTTATGGCCAAAATCTTTCAAACCCAGGATTTGCTAAGAAATGTTGATGTCTGTGAGGAGCCAGTGGCTTTAGGCAATGCTATCAGAGGACTTCTCCTGTGTATCCACAGAGGAGCCCGGGGGAGTTCTGGAGGCAGCTTCCAAAGTGGCCGTAATGAATCCGATGCCAGCGTGTCTGAGGGGCTGATTAGGAGAGAGAGATTCAAGCAGGATAAGAATAAAGCTCTTTTCCAATGTTTTTCTAAGTCCTTCTGCTTATTTTCCTTGCGGTTGACTTCACAGGATCCCAGAATAGCTCAGCTGGAAGAGAGCTCCAGGGGTCTCTGCTCCAGCCCCAAGCAGGGTCACCCACGGGGTCAGACTGGGCTGCTCATGGATTTATCCATGTGGGACTTGAAAAATATCCACAACATCCCTGGGCAGGCTTGATATCCTCATGGTGGGAAAGCTTTCACTCACAGGGAACAATTCCTGTCCCATATCCCTTCTAAATCTCTCCCCTTTCAGTTTGAAAAGGTCATGAAATATCCAAAGGTCTTGAAACACCTATTTTTTCTTACATCATTTCAGTTTAGACACACTGACTCCAGTTTAACCCTGAGTAGTTCCCGTTGATGTGTCTGTTGGAATTTTCTACTTTCCATCTTGCTTTCTTTGCAGAACTACAACACATCCAGCTCTAAGTAGTTTGGGTACTGAATAAAAAGTTAAAAACCCTCCAAACTCTTCCAAGATGAACTCGAGACAGACAAAACCCAAAGCTTTAAATCTTGAATTTGATGAAACATAAAATCCTCCACAAGAATTCATGAATGATCTCAGTGATAATAAACCCCTATGAACTTGAAAGAATGGAATGTGTGGCAGATAAATGCAATTAACCTCAGGGAATATGGATCCAGTCTCTTCCATTAATCACCATGTTGGGTTTTGCTGAAAACCTGGAAGGAACACATGGCTGGATGCCACTTTTGCTGATTTCCCAGTGAGGATTAGAGCTGGGCTCCTTCATTTCTCTGGATAGCTGGCACTGCAGGAGGGGCATAAATGCATTCCCAAGTTAAGGTGGCCTTGGCTTTCCCAGGGAATTGCAGTTTTCCAGAGGAATTCCCAAACACCCTCAGTTTTTCCCCAATCCCAAATCCTTGCCCATGGCTCCTCTGCAGCCCCCAGGGATCCCTGCCTGTCTTTGTGAGCTTCCAGAGGGAGGTAGGAGCTGGGATTGCCTCAATTCCCTCGCTGCTCTCCGTGGTTTTGTGGAATGTTTTGTGCAAGAGCTCCTGGAGCCAAACCCCCGGTGCAGGGGGTTGTGCTGGAATGAGGCTCCCAGCAGGCAGCTTGTCCCAACAGGAGGAATCCTGGTGCTTTCCAGCACTCCAGGTGCCTGGTGGCTGTGCTGGAATGCTGTGAGCTGCTGTTCCTCCCCTGAGCCAGGGCAGAGCAGCAGGGGCTGTGGGAATGCTGCTCCTCAGAGCAGGAAAAGCCAATCCAGGGTGACTGAACAGCACTTCTGGAGAGGTGTGGTTGGACAAGACATGCTTTGGCACCAGAAGAATGCATGAGAAGGAGTCAAACTTTCTCCAGTTGTCACTGTGGGTGCATCACCACTTTGCTTCACCTTAACTGGTTCTTTCCACACAGGATCAGCTTCCAGCCCCAAAATGCCTCCCAGCTACAGCCAACAGGAATCACAGAAACATGGAATGGTTTGGGCTGAAAAGGATCTCAAATATCATCTCATCCCAGCCCTGCCATGGCAGGGACACCTTCCACTGCCCCAGTGTCCAGCCTGGCCCTGGGCACTGCCAGGGATCCAGGGGCAGCCCCAGCTGCTCTGGGAATCCCATCCCAAGGCAAGGCCAGGGCTTTAAGGCAGTCTTTGCCCAAGCCTGGAGGATAAATGGCATCTTGTACCACGGCATCCAAAAAATGCAACAAAACCCCAGCAGACAATAATAGAAAAAACAATTTGCCTCTGAATTCCTTCTTCAACAGGAATTCGGTTGCTAAACAGAATTGCTGAGAGGAAGGAGTTGCTTTCTTGCCTCTCAAAAGTATTTCAGATGTCAAAGGCTCTTTCACACTCTGGAATGAAAATAAAAGATGTTTCACAGCCTTTAAATTCCTTACCAGTCCAAGGAGAGCTCCAAATCCTTGCTTGTGTCAGATCCTACCAACCCAGAGAGACCCTGCAGGGTCCCCCACTCTGCCACAGCTCTGCAGCACCAGCACAAAGCTGGAGTTGTCACTCCCTGCAAATTTTCATTCCACTGAGCTCCCTCTTCCACGTTGCCTTCCTCAGCTTTCACATGACCCATTCAGGGAATTTATTTTCTTGGTTTTCTAAAGGCCTTTGGAGCTCAGAAGCAAATCATGATACTCACCATGAGCCTTTCTTACAGAAATTCTTTTAAAGTGAGACAAAGAGAGGAACTGCTGATGAAAAGGACAGTTACAGCCAGGAGAGCAGGAGTGAGGCAGGGCTGGACTGCTTAAATGTCTTTGGAAATTCAGACCAAAGTTGCTGCATTAAGCTTTGACATTTCAAGCAAGAGTCTTGTTTTCCTCATCGCTCAACATCCCTGACGTGATGGAAACCACACTGAGAGCTCTGTGGAGATGAAGTTTTAACTCAGAGCAGGGTTTCTGTCCTGGTCCTGGAGTCCCAGGGAGCTGGGGCAGGAGAAGATGCTCAAACACCCATGGAGTGAGCAGGGGCAGCACAGTCTGCAGCAGCTGGGCCACTCCTGCAAGACTTCCTAAATATGGGGTTGATGCAGTCTGAAGAGACACTAAGTGTTAGAATAAATCTCTGAAACAGCCAATTAGTCAAGCACTTGGCCAAAATAGTCCAAATTCTTGGCCAGGACTGGCCAGACTTTTACAGAGTGGCAGAAAGCATCTGAGAACGAGATTCCTCTGCCTGTCAGGGCACTGACCTGGCACTGCTGCCTGCCAGAGCTTCAAAAGCAGAGCACCAGGAGCTTAGACCTGGGAAAAAGCCTGGTTTTCCCCATTTCCCACTCACCCTCTTCTCCAATAGAGCTTAAGTGTTATGCCTTTGTAAGACTTAGTCACATGTCCCTGAGGAGATGTGCACTGTGGAGTAAATTATATTAAAGCAAATAATTCTGAGAGTGAAGAAAGCAGGAACCGGGTGTTGTTTCTGTGCCAATGTGCCCTGACTTGTGGCACCTGGGTGGGCTGCAGGGGAGCTGGGATGTGGTGCAGGAGGTGCAATCCTGTGTGTGTCTGGGATGTGGTGCAGGAGATGCAATCCTGTGTCTGGGATGTGGTGCAGGAGGTGCAGTCCTGGATCTGGGATGTGGTGCAGGAGATGCAGTCCTGTGTGTGTCTGGGATGTGGTGCAGGAGGGGCAGTCCTGTGTGTGTCTGGGATGTGGTGCAGGAGGTGCAGTCCTGTGTCTGGGATGTGGTGCAGGAGGTGCAGTCCTGTGTCTGGGATGTGGTGCAGGAGATGCAGTCCTGTGTCTGGGATGTGGTGCAGGAGGTGCAGTCCTGTGTGTGTCTGGGATGTGGTGCAGGAGATGCAATCCTGTGTCTGGGATGTGGTGCAGGAGGTGCAGTCCTGTGTGTGTCTGGGATGTGGTGCAGGAGGTGCAGTCCTGTGTCTGGGATGTGGTGCAGGAGGTGCAGTCCTGTATCTGGACACTGGAGGATGGGTGCAGAGCCCTCCCTCTCCCCAGGGCTCAGGGATGGTGCAGATTTGGAGCTGTGCCCCTCTAAGCACCCACCAAATCAGGTTTGGGCCTGGCTCCCTCACCAGAGATGACTTTAATGGGGAATTCCAACTAAAATAGCCACTGGAAGGTTTGGGTTTTCCTTTCCCCACCACGGCCACACACCCAGCACGAGCAGTGAGCTTCACCCCAGGACTGCAGCCCCAGTGGCAGGGGCAGGACCCCTCTGTACCTGTTGCCTTCTCGGGGTTGTTGCACATGAAGCACTGCCAGGCTCCTGCCTCCTCGCTGTAGCCAAACAAATCAAAGAACCTCACCTCCTCCAGGTGCATCTGAACATTCTCCAGATCCTGGAGGGAGGAGAGAAACCAAACCCATCAGGTGGAGAAGCACCAGAACCCCAAATCCAGAGGGACATGGGGGGTCCTTCCCATGGCTCCTGCAGAGGGACAAGGGGCCAGGGCACTGAGCTGGGCAGGAATGGGCACTGAGCTGGGCACTGAGCTGGGCAGGACAGACAAGCACACAGGGACAAGGCTGACAAAAAGCCCAGGAGCTTCCCCATCCTGTGAAAAATCTGGTGGTGGCTGCCATGAGGCAACTCCGGCCTGCAAGAGAGCAAATCCCACTGAAATATCAGTGCAGAAACCTGCCTGCTCCCCTCTGCACTCCAGCACACTTTAAATAACCTGCAAGGAGCCACTTGTTTCAGGAGGGAAAAGCCTACTTGGAGAGATTTATCTCATCCCTGTGCTCCATCAGCCCGAAAGGCTCAGAGAGCCCTTGGTGCCAAGGTGGCCCTTCCTTCTGCCACAGAACAGAAAGGAGAGGGGAGAACAGAGCCACCCACGGCCCCAGAATGTTAACTGTGCTCTTAAAGCAGCAAAGGGATCCCCGAGGGCATCACATGGGGCCAGTGAAGCAGCCACCAGCTCAGGGCTGGCACAGAGGAGCCAGGAGGGCTCAGCAGCTCCCTGGGCTGGGCACACTCAGGGCTCTGCACAGCCCAGGGAGCCTGGGAGGAGCCACATCTGGAAGTGCTCTGCTCCTGGCACACCTCGAGCCCTGCTGAATGGGTAAATCAATGTTTTCTGTGGCATGGAGAGGCTGCCCAGTGGAACACAGCGAGCTCTGTGTGAGCCAGGCCCTCAGTGCAGCTCCAGGGATCACCACAGCTGAAGGCATTTCTCAGAATTCAGTCTGGAGTGAAGCACTGATGTCATACATGACCCTCCAGGTTTGAAAAATGCTTTAGAATCCATATTGGAAAAAAATTATCACCTTCCACTGTCCCAGGTGCTGCCAGCCCCAGTGTCCAGCCTGGCCTTGGGCACTGCCAGGGATCCAGGGGCAGCCACAGCTGTGCCAGGGCCTGCCCACCCTCCCAGCCAGGAATTCCTTCCCAATATCCCACCCTGAAAAAGCATTTCAGACTCTGCTAGAACACAATGCATAAGCTTAGTCTCAAATATAGCAGCCAATGTTGATGCTGCATTTGCATCAACACACTTCAAGCTATTGAAAATTAGAAGTGCTGCACTTAATGAAGCAGCCACACCCCCAGAATTTTGCTTCCTGGACTACTGGCAGAGGAATAACACCAAAAAATACAATAATTTTGTCCAATAATTCACAATAATGCACAATAATTCACTAAGTCCTGTTAGCAGTGAGAAGAACTTCTGAGATGACAAATTGCAATTATGACAGAAGCTGAGGAAAGTAAGGACTAGGTCACGCAGGGAATGTTCCAGGCAGATTTTTTGGAATTGCAAAAGCTAAAGAAAACCTTCCTTATGGCAGTCCTTGTCCTCATTCCCAGAAAACTGAATGGGAATTGCACTAGAGACAAACTCGGGCTCTTAGTAGTAAACAAAACCAGAACAAGCTCTGGTTCTGTGTTAATAAACAAAAGCAATCCAGAAAGTCAATGCAGCAGCAAAGAGCAGAGCCCAGGAGGGACCTGCAGAGCCAGAGCAGCTCAGGGGGTTCCAGCTGCCCCTCTGTCCTCAGCCTCAGGGCTGCTCCCTGCTCCAGACCCTGCTGGATCTCAGGATCCCCCTCCCAGCTCTGCTGCTCTGGGAACTCTCAGGGGTTGGAGCCCTGGTCACTGGGAATTTCAGACTTTCTGTGCTGCCAGGCACTGACCCCTGAGAGAACACTGCATTGATCTGGGGCTGTGGAGAAGCTTCCAGAATGGAATGATAGAACTGGGATTGTGGGTGTGGAGTTTGAATAGAAATGTGTGATACCACAGGGTGGGAAACCCAGAGTTTAAGGGTTTAGAACACAGTAATATACATAAAGCAAGATGGAGGTTTTAGGGCAGAGGCTGCTCCTTCTTCTCCACCTTCTTCTTCCTGGGTTTGGGTGGTTTTGTGTAATTGGACAAAAAGTCCCCATTGCCAGCAGGGTGGTTGGTTTTGGGTTAAAAGTAAAAATAAGTGAGGTGTCATTTCTTAATTGGACAGTTTATCCTTAAAAGGCCTTGCAGAGAGAGAGAGATGGGGCTCCATTTTTAGCTTGTTAGAATGAAGTGCTGCAGAACTCAGGGTTGGTGAGACTGTGACATGGATAAGAACTAACAAACATCTGAGTCCAAGCAAGTCAAAGCCATGCTGAGCAGCAAAGCTGCTCTAAAGCCTCTGCATGAGCCAGGCTTGGATTCAACAGCAGCTCAGATCCTTAGCACAGCTCCTCTGTGCCTGAGTAAATCTGGCCCCAAAGCTGCTCTCAGATGTGGGGCTGCCCCACTCCTCTGAGCCCCAGCAAGAGCTCCCACTCCTTCACCACATCACCCTGGGAGTTCAGAAGGTGCTCCCAACAAAACTGTGGTTTTAAATCAGCCATAGTCTTGGTAATTTAATCCTATTCCACCAGACATCTTCATGCCCACAATATTCTGAGAGAGTGTTGTAAAATCATGTTTGACAACTCATTTCATCCAAATGAGCTGCATGGAGATGCTCAGGAATAAATAGATATTTGTTTTCCAATCCTACAGTGGCCTTTTCCAAGCAGCTGATGAATAGCTTGGAAAGAGCATTCACTGAAATCCTGGAGACAGAAAAGAGCTTTGGGCTGCAATCCCTTCAGCTGGTGGGGGTAACTAATGGCACATGTGCAGACAAATAACTCCATAAAATCCAGGGCTGTGTGTAGATGGGGGAACTTCCAAGGGCTGCCCAACACCCCACAGCAGCAGCTGAGCTGAGCCTGGAGCTCCAGACTGAGAGCAGGACCAAACCCACGTGCAGCATCCCTGCTCTTCATGCCATGGGTCACTTCAGGGATGGGGAACCAGCCTGGGCACCTTCCAAAGCACAGCACAAAACACCCCTGAACACAGAAAAGGCTCCAAAGTGCAGGGCCAAGTCCTCCTGCTCTTTTAACCAGCGAGGAAAGCGATCCCTTACCTTCTGGTGAGGGAAGGTGGACTGGATCATGGCAGCCTCAAAGCTGTGTGTGCCCTTGAGCTGTGTCTTCTCCCACAGCGCCTTGAGGACTTGCACAGAGCTGCTTTGGGTGGACAAAGGTTCTGCAAACAGGCTCTGCAGGAAACATTGGGGATGATTTCAGGTGTTTTTTCACTCAGGTGTTACCAAAGAGCATCTTGTGCTCACAGTGGGACAGCCAGGAGAACCAGGGGTGAGGCCTGGGCAATTCTGATGGGTCCATGGGCTCACAACTGGATAAACACCAAACACCTCAGTTCCTCTGGGCTTTCTGAAGCTTATTGCACATCCCACAGCTCTGAGGAATGAGGATTCCCCTTCAATGGCCACTACACGACCTGGTTCTGTATTGAAATGTGAATTTATCACCAGGCAGCAGCCCTGGCCCCTCTGTGTGAACCACACACAGAGACCTGGGGGAGCTGCATCCCCCTGGGCAAACCTGGCATTTCCAGGCAGAGGGAGGGGGTGCCTCCCACCCCTGCAGGGTCTGTTTGGAGCTCCCCAGGTCCCAGTCCTTGAGCAGCACGAGCAGAGCCTGTGAGTGCCCTGGCCAGAGGGTGGGATGAAGCACAGCAGGGAGAGCTCCACAGGGCTCTCTGTTTAATATTGATTCCAAGAACAGCCCAGTACTTGCACGTGTGTGGAATTTCCTAACAGGTCACAAATAGTGTGAAACTAAGAGAGAGCCCTACATTCACACTTCAAGGTGCAACAGGTGGGGTTTGAGCTGAAATACAATGTTCAGTTTCTTAACACACACAGAGCCTTTCACTGAGGTTCATCCCATCCTCAGGCAGCCTTGGGAGCCCCCAGGATTCATCCAAAATTAACACAGTGAGGGATGCTGTGGATGGAACAGCCTGAATTGCTCTGCCCTGGGTGTTTTCCTAGAAATAAATACTTTTCAAGAACACTGGTCAGTTCATTTAAAAAATAATAATGGAGAGTTCTACTGTGTTTCATTCTCAGCACGGGCTGCAGGAGTTTCAGCACCTGGGCAGGACAGGTGACACCTTGCTGGGGGCTGCTGTCCCCCAGAGCTCCCTGGGCCACAGCACAGTGAGTGACCCAGCAGCCCTGCCCACACAGCAGCACTGAGGCTGGCAACACTTGTGCCTCTCCTCCATCTCCTCCGTGATCTTTTAATTAAAGCATGCAGTTACACACAGGAGCCAAGATAGGAGCGCACAACAAATCTGATTTTCCATACTGCAAATATTCGATTTCACAATATGGGCAATGTCCTTCAAACGTGGGATTCCTGGATGGACTTTCTGTCTCCTCTCTCTGAGCAAACCCATCCAGCCTAATCCTGCTGTCCTGCACTAATAATTTCCCAATTTCTATCCAAGAGTTTTGAAACACAGTAGAACTCTCCATTATTATTTTTTAAATGAACTGACCAGTGTTCTTGAAAAGTATTTATTTCTAGGAAAACACCCAGGGCAGAGCAATTCAGGCTGTTCCATCCACAGCATCCCTCACTGTGTTAATTTTGGATGAATCCTGGGGGCTCCCAAGGCTGCCTGAGGATGGGATGAACTGCAGTGAAGGGCTCTGTGTGTGTTAAGAAACTGAACATTGTATTTCAGCTCAAACCCCACCTGTTGCACCTTGAAGTGTGAATGTAGGGCTCTCTCTTAGTTTCACACTATTTGTAACATGTTAGGAAATTCCACACACGTGCAAGTACTGGGCTGTTCTTGGAATCAATATTAAACACAGGAAAATCACCTGAGGGGTGGTAGAACAGCACTGAGCTGATTTACAAATCCTGCTCAGTCCAAACCTCTGCAGTAAAACCCCAGTGGGTTCTGCCCCTCCAACCTCCTCCTGCAGCCTTGGGGCTGCTCCCCTGAAATCCACTGCCAGCTCCTGGCTGCTTCCCAGGCACCTGGGAGTTCTGCCTGAATAAGAACAATATGCTTTGGTCCCACTTTTTTATCCCCAGACTTTGTAATCTCCCCAGCCAGTTTGAATTTGGGCTATTTAACAGAAATAGAAAAACTTCTACAGCACAAAACAACTTCAGCCCAGTGGCACGAGTTCCTGAGGGACCACAAGGGTCACAAATGGCTGTGAGTTAGGGGTGCATTTAATGAGTTTAACCATGAAACATTCTTGTCCAAGTGGCACAGGAGCAGCCCAGAGGGGCCCTGGCTGGTGTGGGCCTCACCTGCTGGAAGAGGAACATGATGTGGATCCAGAGGGGAGGCTGCTGGCTCACCAGGGTGAAGCTGGATTTGCTGTACAGGCAGTAGTGGCCCTTCAGGGGACAGCTGAAGAACAGCTTTGCCACACAGCTTTGACCAGTATCTGCAAAGGCAAACATGGCAGGTAAAAACCAGCTACAAAGCAGAGAAAAAGCTCAGTGCCCGTGCTGGGGTGCCAGAGCCACAGGGGAAAACATTCCACTCAGGATTTGGGGCACTCCTGCAGCCAGCAGGGCACTGATGTGTCTGCACCCTTAAAGAAGGAGAGAAATTCAGTGTTCAGTGCTTCAGATCTTACCCTGTAACCCTTTACTGCCAAATGCAGGAGGGACAGCACAGCCCAGCCAGGCTGTTCATAGTCCTTGTGCTTTCTCATGTGTTTGGGATACCAAACCAGCAGGTCCATCCAAACTGTGTCTCCCTTTTCCTATTTAAAAAAGCTGGTTGGGAAACCCCTGCCCTGGCAGGGCCCAGCCAGGTGGGGCTGACATCTGTGGGATCCCTGCTGAGGTGAAGGTTTGAACTGGAAATTGAGATGCACAATTCTGCTTTTGCTAAATATTATAGATCATGGAATGGTTTGGGCTGGAAAGACCCTAAATCCCATCCAGCCCCACCCCTGCCATGGCAGGGACACCTCCCACTGCCCCAGGTGCTCCCAGCCCCAGTGTCCAGCCTGGCCCTGGGCACTGCCAGGGATCCAGGGGCAGCCACAGCTGTGCCAGGGCCTGCCCACCCTGCCAGGAACAATTCCTAATTCCCAATATCCCACCCATCCCTGCCCTCTGTCCATGTGAAACCATTTCCTCAGCAAACCCAAACAGCTTTGTCTGAGGATGATAAAATGGTTTCCCCTTGCCAGCTTCTGGGGTTTGCTCCCAGCCTCACAGCCATCTGGCCTCTCTGCAGCATTTCTGGCAGGTTCCAACACCCCACTTTGAGATTTTCTGCATTTTCAGGGACAATCTGTGACACTGACACTTTGTCCTGGCAAGGCATTCTTTTGAAGCTCTGGTAAACTCATTCCTCACATGTGACACTTTTACACGAAACACTGAATTTATTACATTTCCCTCCTATGCATTCACATCTTGATTAGATGGAAAATGTTAAAACCAAGCATTTCAAGCCCATCTGCTGTGGACACACAGGCTGCCCCTGCTCTTGTCAGCAGATCCAGAAACCATCTCTGCTTACTCACATTTTCTCCAAAGTCACAGCTCATTTTTTCAGCCAGGAGATTTTCTTTGAGCATTTTCTTCCTTCCCCTTCTCCCCACGGTGACTCACCAGGACAGCAAGGGACTGACTCACATCCCTGCATGGCTGGCCCATGAGCAACACCCCCCAGCAGGGAAAAACGGGGCATGAACCCCCTTCTCTGGGAGCATGGCATAAAATGCACTCACTTGGATTGCTGGCTATGGGGAAAACTTGAGTTTCATTACCCAGACCTGCCAGTTCTCACCCAAACCTGCCAGTGCTCGTGTTCACTGCAACAGAGGGGTTGGGGAAGCCAAAGGGGTTAATGAGAGCCATCCTGGATCCTGGGGCACATGAAAGCACACAATGACATTTCCAGGGAGGCTGCTGACAGATGCTCCTCCAAACTGCAGACCCCTCACAGATGCTGAAATAACCTTCACTCATGCACTCAAGCAGAAATCGGGCTTGGCCTGGGGCCAGGTGTGTGGAAAGTTGACGTTTCAAGATGGGAAATGACTCTTAGCTAAAAATGACCCCAAAGCACGTGAAGAGGAAGGTGAAGAGGAGCAGGCAGCTTGTCCTTCCTCTTGCCTGGAACACAGCCATTACTCCCCCAGTTCCAAACACAGGGACTGACAGAAATCCTGGGAGCAGGGAGAAGGGGCAGGGCTGCAGCCCCTGATGGGAAAAGGCACCCAGGGAGGACCTGCTTGGGGGGCTGGGAAGGACATTCCTGAACGCTGATAAAAATGGCAAAGGATCTGTGGAGAGGCTCCTGAGGAAGTGCTTAGCAAGGGTTTGTGGTGGCACTGAGGAGCACATGGAGGCCGAGGACACGTGCCAAAATCAACGGCAGCTCCAGAGCACAGCCCTGGCTGCCTGAGCACCAAGTTCCTGGAAAACTGCAGCCCTCATTTGTCACTACCACTGCAGAAAGCTCCTTCCCAGATGATCTCCCAGGCTCTGGAATGAGCTGAGCAGCTCCTCAGGGCTGCCCTGCTCTGTTTGAAGTGCTGGTTTGGCACTGGCTGAGCAGCAGCCCACATTTGCTACGTGCAGCTTTCAGCAGCTCCTGATGAGCCACCAGGATCCACCTCTGACAGGGAATATCAGTTATTCCACTTCAGCAGAACCATGGAATCATGGAGCGCCTTGGGTTGGAAGGGACCTTAAATATCATCTCATTTCAGCCCTGCCAGGGCAGGGACACCTTCTACCAGCCCAGGCTGCTCCAGCCCCAGTGTCCAGCCTGATCCTGGGCACTGCCAGGGATCCAGGGGCAGCCCCAGCTGCTCTGGGAATCCATCCCAGCCCCTCCCAGCCAGGAATTCCTCCCCAGCATCCCATCCATCCCTGCCCTCTGGCAGTTTAAGACCATCTTCTCCTGTCCTTTCATTATCTGCCAGGCTCTCCTCCTTCCCCAGCCTTGGCAGGAGAGTCCAAGCAGCACAAGGAAAGGATTTTGAGACACGAGAACACGTGAAGAGCACCATGAGGCACCAACCCACCCACGGAGTCACCAAGTGCCCCAGAAGGCTGATCAAGACCCCAAGGCAAGGTTCCTCAGCCAAGGAACATTTCTCAGCCCAGCTCTTGGCGCGTCTCTGCCTTCCAGCAAGGGAATAAGCAACAGCTCCTTCCTCCTACAGGAAACAAGGGAATATATGTTGCAATTTTAAAGTTCACAACTGAGTGGTTGTGCCTGGGGAAAGGGAACAAAATATAACCAGAAGAATGTCAGCAGAGCTGTTAATTGTTACCTATTCCAGCTTCACATGCTGGGCTGAACCAGGAGGGTACAGAGTCACTGGCTCTGGGAACAATTAATGTGTTATTTGATTTACATTGGTGATCCTTTACTATTAAATGAAATCTGTTAATAAGAGTAAAAGTATGCTCATAAATTTCCTGAATAGAATCAAACCCATGCATAAACATGGAACCAATAAGAAATGGATGCAACTTTTTAAACTTTGGGTTTAAGCTTTTTCAGCTTCCTCAGTTTCCTTTGCCTGAACTCTTCAGTTTGGGTTACAAAAAGTATGCAAACAATAAATACATTTATAGGAGGAGAGGGCAATTTTTAAAGCAAGCAGCTTCAAGAAGTGCTGCTTTATATTGTTTTTAACACACTAACTTTGTGTGCAGGGCATAACTCAGTCCAAGGTGTGAGTTACACCAACATCAAGAGAAGGCAGGGCTGTAATGGGGGTGGACACCAACAACGAGGCACTCAGCACAGACTCCACATCCAAGGGGCAAATCCAGGAGCTCAGAAGCCATAAAATCATCCCAGAATCACAGATGGGGTTGGAAGGGCCTTAAAGCTCTTGTTCTACCTCCCCTTCCTTCCCCTAGACCAGGTTGCTCCAAGCCCCGTCCAAGTCCAAGCCCTGTGGTTGATGCCACCACCCACAGGAGTGTCCCAGCTGCCAGGTGAAGCCCACCTAGAGAGCAGCCTGTTCTGAGGGCAGCTGTGAGGCCCCCAGGATGTGCCACACATGTGTGAGGGCAGCCAGGGGACAGCTGGTCACATCCCCAACACTCTGCTGTGGCGCTGGGAATCTCTGCTTGGTCTGACAACGTGGATCACCAGGAGCACCACGGCCATCCTGAGCTGTGGCACTGCCATCCCCAGCAGTGACACTGCCATCCTGAGCTGTGGCATTGCCATCCTGAGCTGTGGCCATCCCTAGTGGTGGCACTGCCATCCTGAGCTATGGCATTGCCATCCTGAGCTGTGGCCATCCTGAGTGGTGGAATTGCCATCCCCAGCAGTGGCACAATGGCCATCCCTAGTGGTGGCACTGCCATCCTGAGCTGTGGCCATCCCTAGTGGTGGCACTGCCATCCCCAGCAATGACACTGCCATCCTGAGCTGTGGCCATCCCTAGTGGTGGCACTGCCATCCCCAGCAGTGACACTGCCATCCTGAGCTGTGGCACTGCCATCCCGAGGTGTGGCCATCCTGAGTGGTGGCATTGCCATCCCCAGCAGTGACACTGCCATCCTAAGCTGTGGCATTGCCATCCCCAGCGGTGCCATTGCCATCCCCAGTGGTGGCCATCCCCAGCAGTGACACTGCCATCTCCAGCAGTTGCACAATGGCCATCCCCAGCAGTGGCACTGCCACCCTAAGCTGTGGCCATCCCCAGCAGTTGCACAATGGCCATCCCCAGCGGTGGCACAATGGCCATGCCCAGCAGTGGCACTGCCATCCCCAGCAATGGCACTGCAATCCTGAGCTGTGACACCACTATCCCCAGCAGTGACACTGCCATCCCCAGTGGTGGCACTGCCATCCCCAGCGGTGCCATTTCCATCCCCAGCGGTGGCACAATGGCCATCCCCAGTGGTGGCACTGCCATCCCCAGCGGTGGCACTGCCATCCCCAGTGGTGGCACAATGGCTATCCCCAGCAGTGGCACAATGGCCATGCCCAGCAGTGGCACAATGGCCATCCCCAGTGGCGGCACTGCCATGCCCAGCGGTGGCACAATGGCCATCCCCAGCGGTGGCACTGCCATGCCCAGCGGTGGCATAATGGCCATGCCCAGCGGTGGCACAATGGCCATCCCCAGCGGTGGCACAATGGCCATGCCCAGCGGTGCCATTGCCATGCCCAGCGGTGGCACAATGGCCATGCCCAGCGGTGGCACAATGGCCATCCCCAGTGGTGCCACTGCCATGCCCAGCGGTGGCACACTGGCCATGCCCAGCGGTGGCACAATGGCCATCCCCAGCGGTGGCACAATGGCCATGCCCAGCGGTGGCACAATGGCCATGCCCAGCGGTGCCATTGCCATGCCCAGCGGTGGCACAATGGCCATCCCCAGTGGTGCCACTGCCATGCCCAGCGGTGGCACACTGGCCATGCCCAGCGGTGGCACAATGGCCATCCCCAGCGGTGGCACAATGGCCATGCCCAGCGGTGGCACAATGGCCATGCCCAGCGGTGCCATTGCCATGCCCAGCGGTGGCACAATGGCCATCCCCAGTGGTGCCACTGCCATCCCCAGCGGTGGCACACTGGCCATGCCCAGCGGTGGCACAATGGCCATCCCCAGCGGTGGCACAATGGCCATGCCCAGCGGTGCCACTGCCATCCCCAGCGGTGGCACAATGGCCATGCCCAGCGGTGGCACAATGGCCATGCCCAGTGGTGGCACAATGGCCATCCCCAGCGGTGGCACACTGGCCATGCCCTGCCTCCCTGGCCCTGGGGCACTGGGAATGCCAGCCGTGCCGATGCAATGCCAGCTGATGCTCACAGGGCAGCTCCCTGGGAAGGCTCTCCCGAGCCTGCCCACTCTGTGATCCCCCTGCAGGACCCGAGGCCCATCTGTTCCCAATCAGGGGCTGCTGATGGAATGCTGGAATCCACCAGGGCTGAGCAGGGCTGAGCACTGCAGGGGAGCAATGAGCTCTTCCATCCATGCCGGCATCTGGTCCCCATTAGCCCTCAGTACCACATAAAACATAATAACAACCACATTGGGGGCCAGCAGGCTGCAACCTGCTCCCCCTGCAGCCTCCCCCTCTGCCAGGGCTCCCAGGGAATGCTCATGGATGGCTTTCCTCCTGCATGGCACCAGCAGCCAGCAGGGACTGCTGCAAAATGGTTCCCATGTTTTTCCATGGGTGCTGCTGACCTGGCCTCAGTGAGCAAGGGGAAATGATTCCATGGTGTCCGAGGGCTCTGTCCTTTCAGAAGGAGCCTGGAGATGGCAAATCCTCCAGCATCCTTGACACACAGATATCATCAGATGCTCTCCTTCCAGCAGCTCACCTGACATTCAAAGCTCTGGGCATTAATGGCAGCTTTTTTATCCAAATTACCTAAAAGTGGAGCAGAACTAGAGCAGAACACAAGGGCCTGTCCTTGCTATCCCCAAACCCAGCAGCTGTGCAGGTCCTGCCTGGGAATGGCTGCACCCATTCCAAGGGCAGGTTGCACAGGGCCATGGCTCTGAGGCACTGTCCTGGCAGGGGTGGGAAACAAGGAGAGCAGATCACAAATCCTGATCACAAATCCTGATCCACCAGGAAAATACAGCATCCCAACCCATCCCAGAAAATATGGGCTGAGGAAAACACTGCTGAACTCCATGAAAACTGAAGAGCCTGACAAATATGGTGGCCTGTTGTTTTTCTCTTCTTTTGAGGAAAAGATCCCCAGGATTAAGAAGCTTTAAGTGATGAACATAACATTAAAAATGCCTCAAATTGCATCAGGTATGTCAGAGATGTGGGTCAGGGCTCAAGACTCCAAGCTAAGCAGGAACTGAACCAATAAATGGAATTTTGAGGGTTTGGGTTCCTTCTTTCTGCCCCAGCTCAAATCCCCTCTCTGACTGCAGTGTTATTCCAAAAAAATCCCTTATGCACATGAGCCTGGTGTTGCAGCTTGTCTGCTCTGTGAAACACCCCCAGCTTAAACCTTTCCTTTAGGATAAAACCTTCTGGCCAGCAGCCCAGTGCTAGCACTGCTCCTGCTGTAGGATCATCACCCAATTCACAGCTCTCCCCAAGGCACAGCCAGCCAAAACCAGTAAATATTAAACAACACGGCTGACATGGCAATTTTTCAAGGTCTGTAGGAGGCATCTTCAAACTGGCACAGACAGTTCATGGATCCACCCTGACACTTCTTAACCTGCAGCCCTTCCCAGCTGTAAAATCTGACACTGCAGGTAATATTGCATCCATTTGGACAGGGAATATAAATTGAATGAGCTTGGAAGTCAACAAGGAGCCTGCAAATCACACCCTGTAAAGCAAAAATACTCCGTGAGGGGTAAGACCTACACAGCAAACATCTGACTCAAGAGCAAAAAAGCCAATTTGCAAATCACAGACAATTTAGCAGAGCAGAGGTGCCTATTTTGTGTGTTTTGAGCCTGCCTCTGACAACTTCACGGTGTGTTCTCCAGCACCTGGATGGGGGCAGACACTCAGTTAATCCTCCCAGTCACTGGTGATGTTGCAAATCTCTTTTCCAGGCTGCAGAGGCCATTTATCTCCACATGGAGGTCTCTGATTTTCCTCACACTCCTGCAGCCACTCTCATCCTTTATGCTCCAAATTGAGGCTCTAATTAATGCAGGCAGTCCCACAATGGTTTGGGTTGGAAGGGACCTTGGAGCCCCTCCAGCTCCTGGCAGGGACACCTTCCCCTGTGTCACTACTGCCCAGATCTGAGGGTCCTGCAGGAAAATTGGGACATTCCCAAGGTTCTGTCCTCACCAGCACACCCCAATCTGGAGGAGCCCCAGTCTGGGGTTAAGAATGAGGAACTCTCCCCATTCCCAAACAGGCTGCCCCAGGTCAGACACCACCAGCAGCAGAGATGCCAGCAGGGGTGGAACTCTGGTCAGGAGAGCAGAATTTGGTCCATCACCCCTTGGAAATTCTTCTAAATTCTCTTTATTAACACCCTGCTGACCCCCCAGAGCTGCCACTTGAAATCCCAGGAAAGGCCTGAGCAGGGAAAGGAAAGGTTGGGAAATGTGCACTCTTGCAACACATTCTGCCACTATTTCCTTCAAACGCTCTGTGTCATGAGGGGCTGCTCTGGGTTTCTTATCTTTTCATATCTTCCATGTCTCACACATTAAATTTCCAGTTCAGACTCCCCCACAGCCTACATAAAATCAGCCAACTATATTTATTAATGTTTTCTAATCTTGTTTTTTTTTTCTGCTAAACACGTTGGTGAAATGTAAAACACGCCTTTGAGTGGGCCCTGTTAGAGTTTGGGGATCTCTGAAGTGCAATAACTGCAGGTTTTTGGAGAGCTTTATGCAATATCTGAAATATTAACAGAGCTGTCCCCTGTGGAATGAGCAGGGCTGCATTTCTTCAACAGATTTAGAGCGAGTCCCATAAATCTCTGCTCTGCACATATGTCCCTGCTCAAGGAATTTCCCTAGGAATGCTGGTTGAGGATTTTCAGGAAATTACAATAGTTTGAATGAATTTAGAAATAGTCACATGCCTAGGATGTATCATAAGAGGTATTGCAGAAAGGAAACTGAGCAATACATTAAAAAATATTCAATATATGGGATTTCATTAATGTGGGGTCAGAGCACTCAGCACTTCAAAAACCACATTGTTCACTCTCATGTTTTCACTGGAATTTTATGCAACACAAGTTTTGTCCTTAATTCTACCAGATAACTATTTCAACTACTAACCCTGGAATTTAAAGTATTTAGGAAATTCTTCAGAAGCATAAGCTTTTAAAATATATATAGAGAAAAAGAATTATATCCCTTTTATGAGTGGAAACTGCTTTTCCACTTCTTGACCACTCAGAAAAGAAAGAAATAAATCTTTTATCAACTTCGGTTGATGCTTGTTGGAGCTGAAGTGACGCTGTATTAGAAGGTGATGTTTGAAGTGACTGGAAATTTAATTTATTAAATTTAATTTAATTGATTGAGGCAGCTGCTCTTTGGGATCAACGTGGCCCATGGAAGGGTTGGGCTGTGAACAGCTCATGGCCACCACTGAGGGGGTTGGATGCACCCAAATTCACCTCAAAGGGAATAAGGGAGGAGGCTCCCAACCCAACCCAACCCAACCCAACCCAACCCAACCCAAAGCATTCACTTCAAAGAGGAGCAGATCACAGACCCACCAGGGATGAAAGCAGCAAACATGAAAGCAGCCCAGGCATTGGTGAGATGGGATCCAGCCCAGCCCAGCCCATGGGGATCTCACCCCGCTGTGCCCTTCAGGAGTTCTGTGGTTGGAATGTGCTGCCCTGAGGGTCCTGCCCTTTGTTGGCCCAGTCCAGCTGATCATGAGGAAGGAGGCCCAGACTTGCCCAAACCAACCCAGCAGGAGCCTCACGGACCAGCACGGGGCCCATGGCACGTGGGCTGTGCAGCACACATCAATCCCTGACGTCCCAGCCGGCCCCACAGCTCCAGCCTGGAGCTGGCAATGTCCCTTCCTGCCCTGCCTTGTTTCCAGAGGCTCTGCCACCCTCAGGGCTCACTCCCCACCACATCCAGAGGGAAATGTTCACCTGAGCCTTCGTGGGAGTCTGGGAGAGGCATGGGATGTGTCCCTGGAGGAAATGAATCCTGGAAGGGTTTAAAAGATTCCATTTGGGAAATGCTGTTTTCTCCAGCTGATGTTCCTCCCTGCCTGTGCTGGGGGTCTCTGCTCCCCTTTGGGCCCTGAGGGGGTTTGGGTGGGTACAGAAGCCCTTGGGGGGCTCAATCTGCTTACCTTCGATCACACACTGCTCAGGGATGGGAATCCTCCTCCCCATCTCCATCACAAACTCCTTGACCTTGCCCAGGTTCTCCTTCAGGTGCAGGTACAGCTTGTCCTGGTGCTCCACAGGGCCCGTGGCTGCCTCTGCCCTTCCCTCCAGGGCCTGTTCTGGGGTCAGCTCTGGCAGGCTGCCTGCCTGGGGGTGATCAGCACTCTGGTGTGAAAGCAGGCAGCTCCCCAGGTGCCCTGCCTCAGGCTGCACCCCAAAAGGCTCCTGCTGGTGCTCCTGGCTGAGGCACAGCTCGGAGAAGGAGATGCCAGCAGGGATGTCCCCACCGTCCTCGTCTGTCCCTCCCTCTGAGCTCAGCCCCTTCACCCTGAGTGTGTGCAGGGCCAGGCTCTTGGACCTGCAGGGAGGAAAGGAAAAGGGGTTTGGAACAGAGGCAGGGCACAAAAATCCCCCCAAAACGTGCCCTGTGCAGCTGCCTCAGAGAGCCCAATGTGGGCTCACCAAGGCAGGGGCAGGAACCTGCTGGGAAATCTGCATTTCCTAAGCCAGGCTCAAGCCCCAGCTTTAATAAGCAAATGAAATGGAACAACATCCAAATGATATGCACATATCCCAGCATCTGCCATGGGGGAGTGAGGCAGCCCCTCTGCAAGGATCCTGGAGCCCTGGGGTGGCGTGGCTGAGGTACCAATCTCACCATAGAAAAGGGAAGCAGTAATTTCACCGAACCAGGACCCTGCCTCCAGCCCTTCCTGCCCTGCGTCCCTGCTGGGATGGAGGGGAGCAAAGAGAGCAGAAGTGGCTGAGAGGGCAAATCCTGGAGCAGGAAGAGCTCTGTGTGGGCTGTGGAGCAGGGACAGCCCCACACAGCTGTCACTGATAAATACTGTTAGTGATAACACCCTGAGGAAAGCTCTCAGGGCCTTCCTGTCCGTGATATTTCAATGCAGGGCTTCTTTTTCTTCTTGCCCTTTTTTGCTGCTTTAGGGAACAGAAAAGATTAACTGGGTTTCCCAGAGCAGCTGTGGCTGCCCCTGGATCCCTGGCAGTGCCCAAGGCCAGGCTGGACAGGGCTGGGAGCACCTGGGGACAGTGGGAGGTGTCCCTGCCCATGGTGGCACTGGATGGGCTTTGAGGCCCTCCCAACCCAAACCATTCTGGGGTTCTGGGATTTAGAAAGATTTCATCCAGCCCTTAAGTTGATGGATGCAAAAGCTGGTTAAATTCAGGTTTATGCTGCCTGTGGGTATTCCATGAGCAGACCAAACCCTCCGTGTTTGGATAAAGTTTTATGACAGACCTGATCTCCCTAAACCCCTCACACATTTTCCAGAGCCATACCTGTTAAACCTCATATCCTTCCTTTCTTCTTTAGAGACCTGGCCCAGGCTGTATCTCCTCACTGAGCCGGGGGTGCTGTTGTCCACATTTATTTTCTCTTCAAAAGCCTGGATTTTAACTTGCAGCTTTTCATCTTCTTCAGTGCCGTTCACGACAGATTTTAAATCATCCAGTGGTACAGGACATTCTGCCTCAGGGTCCTTTTCCATCCTGAGGAAGCACAAAGCAGAGGTTTAACTCTGGCACACTCTGTTCATTGTGCTGATGCTGTGTCTGTGCCTGGGACTTGTGGTTTGGATCTGGTAAAATAATTATGTTTAAACAGAGATTCCCTGAGGTTATTTTCAGGAACATCTTCTAGATCAACATCTCTGGTGGATCAGAAGCATTGAACATCTCTGACAACCCTGGCCTGGAAAGTGCCAAGCAGCAGCAAATCACAACTCTGTCCCTGACAGTTAAAAGTTTTTCATCTGAACTCAAATAATTCTCTTGAAATTGCTAAACACTGACTTATTGCATTATTTTCACAAGGCAAAAGTCAAGTTACTTGCACACTTTATAGAATTCTGTGGTTTTAAAGCTTTGACCAAAGTACATGCAGTTCTTACTGAATTATTGCCCTCTGAGAAATAAAAATACCTTTTAAAACTCAGGAAAAATTATGAGCAATGTGACTCCAGCTCAGCAAAGAGAAAATGAATAGTTAAAATGAGCTTGTAGGACTGCAGGGCAAGTAGTTCTGGTTTGGATTTCTTATGTTTGTCTTAAAATCACAGAATCAGAGAACCAGGGAATGGTGTGGGTTGGAAGGGACCTTAAAGCCCATCCGTGGGCAGGGACACCTTCCTCTGTCCCAGGCTGCTCCAAACCCTATCTAGCCTGGCCCTAGGCACTGCCACGGATGGGCAGCCACAATATGGAACATTTTAATGCAAAATTCAAAGGTAACTTTCAAATAAATTGAAGGGAGGCCGTTGATCTTACAGGACAAAAAGAAATCTGCTGGAAAAGACACTGTTGGTAGAAATGTGCTGGGTTCCCTCAAACAGCTTTGGAAATGGCTTTTTCTGGGTTCCTGCATCACTCAGAGCCTGCACAGAGACTCAGCTCCCCTGAATATTTGGCCATTTGCTGGAAATCTGAATTTTGAGTGTCCTTACTCTGCCTTGGAGCTGCTGTAGGACTGGATTTCCCAGGGACCCACAGCAACAGCATCACTGCCCTGCTGGGGTGATGTGAACATTCCCCCCTCACTCCTGCAGCAGGGAGGAACTGGCACCAAAAACCATGGAGCAGCACAGAGCAAACAGGAATCTCTTGGAGAATCAAGGGGGATTGGACACTATTTACTTTTTAAACTCCACCCACAGCTCTAAAACAAGTTTGTTATGCTCCTGACTATTTCTTTGTTTGATTTTCTTTTTCTTTCCCCCGATGAACAAACATCTGAATAGCTAAATCTGTAAACCATGGATATATAAAACCACAAATGAGGGGTTTAACACAGCCCTTCCAAAGCAGCAGAGTCTCACAAGCCACGCTCGCAGTGGGGGAGCCCATTAAAAACTCCCCAAACTGCACATTACCAATTGTAAAAAGCCAGGTTTTTACAAAACAACCAGAAATGTGGCATCACAAAATGCACTTTTTCACTTGTTTTGATAAAGGCAGCTCAGGATATTTCTCAGGGGAGCTGGCAAGTTTTGTCTTGCTTTGTTTTTAATTCAAGCAAGATCTCATAATATATTAACACTGAGGAGCACTTGAAAAATATTCTTCTGCAATAAAGACCCTTGATGTGACCTTTCCTAACAAATCTTTCTGGGGATGTAGGACAAGATTTAATTTATTGGAAAGCAGTCACTCCACCACAGCTCCCAACACTGCTGCCATTGTGGGAGCTGAGCTCTGAGGAAAACTCCTGTTCCCTGTGTAAATATGGGCAAAGCCTCAGGCACAGAGAGGGGATTGATGGACTGATGGGCCTTGGGAGGGACAGACCCCAGCCAGGGAGCCCTGGTGATGTTAGGGATTAAAAATGGTGTTTCAAACAGCACCTCTTTGTGCAGCCTCCTCCTGCTGAGCTCCCATGGCCTTGTGCAGGGAATGCAAGGAAGTTCTTCTCCTAAAGAACCACAAAATCGTTATGGTTGAAAAGAAACATGGATGAATCCTATTTTATGTATGTAGAGCAGAAAAAAGAGTGTGGAGGGTGGGCTCCTCAAGCCACCATCCCACTGTTGCCCCTGCTGGTGCCAAGATTCCCAAGTGGGAAGCAGAGGGTCTCCGAGTGCCCAGGAGCTCTCCTGTGCACCAGCCCTGTGCCCACATCAGCTCCTTGGGAAGCCAAAGGGACAAACCTGCACAAAATCCTCAGTGAGGGCTCCATCCCACTCCACTGAGACCCTGGCAGCCCTTCCTGCTGGGCTCCCCTTGCAGCTCCTCTCAGACCAACCATTGTCTGCAGCCTTGGCAAGAGGCACTGCTGAGGCTGCTGGAGCAGGAGGAGGAGGAGGAGGAGGAGGAAGGTGCACGAGCTCATGGGGAAACCATCATCCAAAAATAGTGCCAGGCTGCTGATGGCTTCATGCTTTAAATCCTCTGGGCAGATGCACCCCAGTGCCCAGGTGATGCATTAGCACAAAGGGCATTTCTCCACACTGCAGTGGGGTGCTCACCATGGGGAAAAGAGCATCCCAAAGGGAGATTAATGAAAATACACCTGGGCTTGTGGCCAGGGCTTCACCTCTGTGCTCATGGAGGCCACAAGGATGGGTCAGGTGTTCGTGGTTTGTTAAGGGAGAGAAAATCTCCTCAAACAGGATGGACGAGAAAGTTTGAAGAAGGCAAGTGGTGGAGGAAAGATCATGGAACTGTCAGCAGAATCCCAGACTGGTTTGGGTTGGAGGGACCTTAAAGATCATCCCATTCCACCCCCTTCCACTGGGACCTCTCCACTGTCCCAGGTGCTCCAGCCCCAGTGTCCAGCCTGGCCTTGGGCACTGCCAGGGATCCAGGGGCAGCCCCAGCTGCTCTGGGCACCTGTGCCAGGGCCTGCCCACCCTCTGAGCAAAGAACTTCCTCATATTTAACCTAAATCTCTCCTGTGCCAGTGCCAAACAATTCCAAGCAGCCACAGCACTGAGAGGAGCAGCATTGGTGCAGCCCCTTAAGCTCAGTTCCTACCTAGAACAAGGACTTGGAAGCTTTCTTCCCCTTTAATTGACTGCACTGCCCCTCTAGGTTGGCTGAGTCCATTAAAACCCTGCATATGTTCTTTAAAAGCCCCTCTGGGACTGAATAACTTGCAATTTTGGGACAGTAAGGAGCAGCAGGGCATGGCCTGGTTTTAATTATGCTCCCCAGTCCCTGCATGTAAAATTCCCTGTGTCAAACAACGCCGGGCCAGCCATGGCTCTGAAAAAATCAGCTTTTCCTTATGTAAACACAGGAGTTTTGGAAGGAATGGCTATAATCCAGGCCCACAGTTTAAAATCCTGCTTTCCCTTCACAGCACAACCACCCTGGATTGCTGCTCTTTAGCTCAGTGACTGCAGCAGCTCCAGAGCTGGGAGAGCACTTCCACCTTCACATCTGGACTGGTCCCACTTCCCAAGCACGAGTCAAAACCAGCTCTGCTTAAATCAGCAGAGAGCTCTCATTCAGCCTTGTCTGATCAAGCTGATACTCTGCCTGAAATGTAAAACCAAATAGCTAAAAACTGTGAAAAACCAGCATTCTGCTGTGATCTTTCATAAAGATACTGAGGGCACAGAGGGTTGGGGAGGGAATGAAATTTAAAATAAATAAAGAAATAAATAAAATCAAGGAGCAGAGAGAGAAAATCATCTGTAACCACACTCACACAGACAATAAAGCTTCTACTCTTCAGCCAGTCCTTAACAAAGAGAATTTCAGCTAGAAACAGCCAGATTTTGATGAAAACCTTGTTTTAAACTAGGTTTTCTTAGCAGCTCTAAGAGATAAATGTGAAGCCCAGAATATAATAAGGAACAGGAATATCACCATGTTTTAACAAAGTAATTTTTCAACCATAAATGGGGGGACCATGATGGGTTGGGAATGCCAAGGGCTGCTTTCTGCTGAGGTTCTGCCCCCAGGTGAGGCTTGGACATTTCTCACAGCCTCACAGTCAGACGAGGGGCTCTGTCTGGGTTCCTCTCCTTTCTCATTTTTACCTCTCTCCAGGACACCAATTATTTGTTTCCCCACTGACCTCAATGTTTTGGCTCCACTGCTCCCAGTCTGGCTCCAGGGCTGGCCTTCACTGTCAGGAGTTTTCTGACACCTCTGTTCCATTTTCCCAAAGAATCACTACTCCTGTGTGCCCCCCTGACCTATGCAAGATACACAACTCGAATTCTCAGTCTCTCACTAATTAGAAGTGACTGCCACCCTGTATTTAAATAACATTCCTATCCTCACTGTGACAAACCCCACAACACTTCAACCTTAGGATGCACAGCCAGAAGCAGCTGAGCAAGCAGAACATCTCATTGTGGATGCTTCAGAAATTCTTTTCAGACTTTTTTTGGGGCAAATCTTCATCAGGGAGCTCGGCCAGCCATTGTTCTCCTCACCCTCAGTGGGCATTTTCTAGAATAAACTCACTGATAATTGTGAGCTTGACTTCACTGATTTATTTTTAACTGAGGTTTTTTTAGCTTGCTTAAATCTACTTATCTGGGGTATGGCTTTCTTCATGGCAATGGGAGCATATTTAATGGGAATTTTGGTGCCTCACAGTGATGCCAAAAGAGGCTACCTGGAACAGAGGCCAGACAGAGTTAAAGGAATAAAGTACGGAATTATTAAAACGCCTTCAAAGGAACTTGGGCACTACAAGAGCCTGGCCGGGGCTCCACCTAAGATGGACCCAAGATGGACCCCAAGTCATGATTTTTCACACTTTGACAAGTTTTGGTCCATTTCCACATTGGGGTTAATTGCCCAATTCCAGCTCCAGGTGATGCAGTCCCACCCTCCCAGTTCGCTCTCCTCAATTCAGTGTTTGCACCTGTTGGGCGCAAAGCAGAGGCGTCCTTGGGAACTGCTGACACTTTCTGTGCAGCTCAGAGTCGCACGCTAGGGCAGCACAGACTCTGGAAACTGTGCAAGCCAAGCTGCAGGCCCGAGCGGGGCAGTGAGAGAGCAGCAGTACCTGGCGGCCGCGCCGTCGGCGCCGAGCTGCCGCGCCAGCAGCCTGGCGATGGCAGAGAAGCTGTTGCTCATGCGGTAAATGTCCCTGCTCTGGGAGCCCAGGATGCTCGAGAAGCTGTCGGTGAGGCTCTTGATCTCCAGCAGCAGGAGGTGGTGAAAGGAGTGCTCCATGTTGGCCAGCTGGTTCACCAGATACAGCAAGGAGGTTCTGGCTCGCTCCTGGGCAGTGTGGGGAGATAAGAACAGGGCTGAACACACGAATTCATTGTTTGCTGCTGTCAGGGGTTTGTTTGTGTGCTGGGACTGAGTCACCGTCCCTGGGGAAGAGTGGCTGCCCCACCATGACACAGGCAGCTGCCTCAAACACAGCTTATTTGTGGTTACACTGAAGTGACTTTTGTTCCTCTTGGTGTTACCTAACCCAGACTAACTCAGGACATCTTGTCTCCTCCTCAGATCCAAGCCAGATCCCTGAAGGCTCTTTAAGGGCCCTGCATCCTTCTGGGTTGGTGGATCAGCCTGGCTCAGTGATCAGGGCCCCAGCAGCACCAAGCTCCCCTTTCACCTCTGATGAGCCTGGCTCAGCTACTTCACAAAACCAGAGAATGGTTTAGAAGGGACCTTAGAGACCACCCAGTCCCACCTTCCAGATTGCTCCAAGCCCCACCAACACCTCCAGGAATGGGGAACATCCAGCCTGGATCTAAACATCTCCAGATTAGGGCTCCTCTGTTAGAGCTGTCCTAATTAGATTGGGTTCCACAGTCCTAAAAACACCCAAGTGGGAAAAGCAGTGGAAAAACCAGCAATTAACTCAGGAACTCCCATCAGATCCTTCACTGGGGGAATCCTTTTGCTCAGGGAAGCCCACTTGGTCCTCAGCAGATTGATGGAGAACTGGGAGATGTTTGGATTTCAGCCTGTGCTGAAACACAAACAAAGGCAGAAAAACAAACAGCTTTCTTCTTCCCAAGGGCCAGCAGGGAGCTCATGTGCCACGCACGTGCTCTGCGCTCTGCAGGGTCCCAGCCCCATTTCCTCCTCTCTTCTGGGACCTCCTAACCAGAGAGCAAAATCTGCTGAAAGGTTGATTCCAGACCCAGCTGGGCTGTAAAAATACCCAGGAGGCTTTGGCAGGACATGGCCCTGCATCACGGGTGAGGCTTTTTTTGAAGAGCAAACCAACGTAATTCAAGGAAAAGCAGCTCTGCCATGACAGAGATAAATGGCAGGAGTGGATCAGACAAACTGCACCCTTCAGCCATATGGGGGAAAGCTCCAGCTACACCCTGGGCTGGGCTGATGTGACCAAGGTTTTTCCTCAATGGCTTGGACGAAGTTGACTCTTTGGTGCACAGTTACTCATTTATTTGAAAGCCGATCCTTCCTCCAAGAGATAAACAGAGGTTCAATTAACATTTAAAACACATTTTTGTTTTCTAAACAAACTGTGCAGCAGACTAAATGGGGAGCAGTTTTGACCATTTTCCTGTCACTTTGATCCAGCTGGAGAGTCTCCAGCCATGCTGAAATGCTGCTACTCGCCTGGAGTGAGGTAAAAGAACAATAAACTCGCCTGAGTAATATAATATGTAACTGTTATACAAAACAAAATTACAGCAAAACAGCTCAACATGAAAGCAGCCGTTATCCCTGCCACAGTTCTAATCCAAAATGTTTCACAAAGCCTATTTGGATGCACATAACCTCTTGTTATTTCAGCAATGCCTGTTTGATGTATTCGTGTATTTTCTCGTAAGCAGCCCTTGCATTTTATGGCATTACATCTGCCAGAAGGTGAGGAGCTAAAGCACAAGCAATGAGGTGTGGCAAACTGCTTTTTTCTTAAAAACAGGTTCAGGAGACTACAAAAAGATCACAAGGCTTTCAGAAATAACTCCAACTCCCAGATGGTTCCAAACATAGGGGAAAAAAATAAAGTGTCCGACTGCCCTGGGCCCCAAGATGGTTTTTCATTTGCACAAGTTTATGGTTAAGGGACAAGTTCTGACTCCAGCTTGCCCCTTGAGAGTGTTGCTGACACCAGCAGAAGTGGTGTGTGTAAACAAGGGGCAACCTTTCAATTCCAGAGCTCCCCTCTCTCCTGGGGTCCCTGGAAGCACAGGAGGCTTTTTCTAGGAGCCAGCAAGGATTTGCTGCTCAGATCCACAGTCCCGACCATCCAGGGCCAAGCCTCCATCCTTGCCACCTCTTTTCCCCAGGCAAGCCTTCCAGTGAAATAAAACATCAACAAATAAAGTCCCAGCTCTGCCATTGATGTCTCCTTGCCTGCTTGTTTTGCTTGGCTGGGCAGGGGACGCCGATTCCTGTCTGAGGAGTGACAGAACATCCATGGCACGCTTGTGTCAGGACAGGGGAGAGGGGACAAGGGATGAGGGAGGGTTGGGAAGGCCCTGACACAGGGGCTGTGAGATGGGACCATCAGAGGCACACATGGGTTGGTGGTTGGACTCAATGGTCCTGGAGGCGTTTTCCAGCCTGGCAGATTTTATGATTCCATGATCTCACCTCTGCTCAGGAATCAGCCATGGAGGCATTTCCTTCCCCTCTTAGGTGAGGTGATTATTTTCATCAGACCAGCTTAGACAGGGTTTGGAGCAGCCTAGGGTAGTGGAAGTGTCCCTGCCCATGGCAGGGGAAGGGGATGAGCTTCAAGATCCCTTCCAACCCAAACCATTCTGCCATTCTAAGATCTCCCATAATTCAGAATTATTCACACTTCCTAACCTTTTAGAGAACAAAACAAGAGAGGAGCCGTTGATCTCCTGGTGGAACATTCACCTCTGCCACCCTCTGTGTGTTGTCTTTATCTCTGGTTTTGAGTCTGGAGCACAGGGTCCCTGGATGTCAGTGACAAACACAGCAAACAAATGACAAACGTGTCCTCCCCACGGGCTGGGATGCTGCTGAGTCAGCAGCTTCCCAAAAAATCAGACTCCTGGCACAGGACATGGTGAGAACTTCCTCAACATTTACTCCAGGGAGGCTGGACATTAGTTATTCAGTGCAGGCTGTGTGTGCTCCACTCAGTAGATTGGTGCAGCCACGTAAACCAACAGGTTAAAAACATGAGGGGAAAATATTCTTTGAATCAAGTCTTTGTAAACTTTACTCCAGTGTGCAGTTTCCAGCACTACATGGAATCCAACAGGGCCAGTTGGTTCCTCGCTCATTCTTGGTTTGGTATAAAACAATCACAGCAACAAAAGGCAAAATAAATAAATTCAGGCCCTTTGAAGTAGTAGAACTCAGCGGAAATGGAGCCTCAGAGACACCCAGATGGGGAGAGCTGGTTCAACACCCCAAAACACAGAATCCAAATGAAATCCTTCAGTTCTGAGCCCAGCTGTGCTCAGCTGAGGATTGGCTGGTTAGCAACCATAAAGTTTCTAGAAAATGCTGACACTCAAATACTAAACACAGAATTAAATGTGGTCACCTGCAGGTCTTATAAAAGTAAAACTTGCTGGGGGATGGAAGTAAACAAGGAGAGAACAAAAAACTTCATTTGGCTCCCAGGCCCCAATGGGATTTTGGCTCCTCTTTCCACCCAACAGAAATAAGATTTATGAAGCCAAACCAAATCTGGTTTTGATTCTTCTGAGATAAATTTAATTTTACATGAATGCAAAGCTCCAGATCAGTAGAAACAGCGAGGATGGTGTCTTCCTGTGCTGCTCAGACACACGAGGCCCAGCCAATACACACCCAAATTATTTGCAAAGGGGGAAGGACTGGAATAAGATCATCTTTAAGGTCCCTCCCAACCCAAACCATTCCATGATTCCATGGCAGGGCAGTCAGGTTACTAGATAGGAAATATGTGGATGCATTACTTTGTACGAGAATAAAAGCAACCCCAAGCCCAAACCCAAGCAAGTCCTCTTGTTTCCCACCATACCTCATCAAGATGTCCAACAGCTCCAAAGATTTTTGCTGTCTGCCCAATCAAACTGGGAAAACTCTCCCCAACTTCCCTCAGTGTGGGAAGAAAAGGGGCCAAGGCTGCAGGTTCATAGCTGGATATTTCCAGAAGGATGTTTAGAATCACCTCGCTGTGGTTGGGGTCCCTCAGGTGTGCAAATAAAAATGGCAAACACTCTCTCAGCACCTGTTAAAAAATCAGAAACAAATTGGATCTCTGTTTTGAATTGTGAACACATATAACCAGAGGAGACACAACCACCAGAGTGATAAAAATAAGCCACCAGACTCTGAGTTAATAGAAGTTTTCCACCCTTGGTGACCTTTGCATGGAGCTATCACTGAGGTCAATCCAAGTTCAACTGAACATATGGAATAAGGGTAAGCTCTGCTTTAAAATATGGCAGTTATGCATAAATAAGTAAGGAAATGCCCAATTAAAAAAAATACCAAAACCCACGTTTACTAAATATTTTCCCTGCTCCAGGCCAGTCTTTATTTTATTGATTAAAAGAACATAAGACTCAGCCTTCCTCAATAATACAGTAAATTAAAGTACTTGCAGAAATTTTTGGGTTCCACCAGAAACTAAACAATGTGACAAGGTCAGGAGCTGGAATAAAGGGAAAAATATGGGGCAAGACCCTCTCTGCATAATAAATGTGCTGTAGGTAAGTTGTCATTTCTTGTAAGAACCCAATGTTTGGGAGACTGAGGGTGTAGTCCTCAGAGTCACCTGCCAAACAGGATGCAGTTGTGTACTGAGGGATTAATTCAGGGTACACAGGCACACTAATGCACCCTGGATTCAGGGAAACTGCTGCAGCTGTGGAAAAGACATTCAGACACAGACATGGGGTAAAAAACAACCTCTTCTTCTGTTCTTTCTTTTGGGGATTATCAGTTCTCATCAGTTCCGAAATCATCTTAATTGTGCTTGACGTGGATTTTAATACAGTTCATGTATATTGACAGAAACACAGTGACGGGAATCCACACTCAGCTGACAGAGAAAGAGCCAAAAACATTGGAGACAAATGGTTTAACCCCAACCTTTTGGTCCAGCAGAGTCTTTGCTCTGTTCTCCTTACATCTAGTGGAGAACTTGGGATGGAATTAGAGAACTGACAGGGAATTAGCACAGGAAGGCACTGTGGTGGTGTTCGCAGGGGTCCCAGGATGAGGGAAGAGACGAGGATCTGACTCCACATTTCAGAAGGCTTGATTTATTATTTTATTATATATATTATATTAAAACTATGCTAAAAGAATAGAAGAAAGGATTTCACTGGAAGGCTTGCAAGGAAAGGAGAGAATGGAATGATAACAAAATCCTGACTGACCAGGAAGTCTGAAACAGCGAGACTGTGATTGGCCATTAATTAGAAACAACCACATGAGACCAATCACAGATCCACCTGCTGCATTCCACAGCAGCAGATAATCAATGTTTACATTTTGTTCCTGAGGCCTCTCAGCTTCTCAGGAAAAAAAAATTCTAAGGAAAGGATGTTTCATAAGACATGTCTGTGACAATGCACAGCCCTGCACGGTTCCATTCCTCCCTCACCAAGCCTGTGAGACCCAACCCCCCAAAAGGAGGGGCAGGCAGATGTTCCTGGTGTGGCTTACCCCCAGTTCTCTCTTCCTGGCCACGGTGTGCAGGAGCCTGAGGAGGTGGAGCTGCTCGGGCGGGTCCAGCTGGGCCATGGGCGCCACCAGCTCGGGCAGGCGGGCGCGGATCGGCCGCGGCTGCTTCTCATAGAGCGTGGGCAGCACCCGCAGCAGCATCCAGTTCCCTGGGGACACAGCAGGGACAGAGCTCAGCCTGGGAGCTGGGCCTGGGGGAGCATCCCATTTACCACCTGTCAGAGCTGGGGCAGTTATCTGCTCTTCATTGGGCAGTTTTCTTTATCCCTTCCACAGCCGATCCTCCCTCCAGATCTCTTCTGTTAAAGGGTTATTAATTATTAATTATCTCCTGTCCATGGCCAGTGAGTGTCCCTGCAGGGCTGATCCAATCCCATCATCCCATGGGGAGATGCTCCGCCCAGGGGAGGAGCCAAGCATTCCTACCTGGGTACAATCTGAGCTTTGGGACAGCACAGCAGCCTCTGCCCCCTGCATTGCCAGAGGAGCAGCTCCTGCTGCCCTGCATTCCCAGAGGAGCAGCTTCTGCTGCCCTGCATTGCCAGAGGAGCAGCTTCTGCTGCCCTGCATTCCCAGAGGAGCAGCTTCTGCTGCCCTGCATTCCCAGAGGAGCAGCTTCCTGCTGCCCTGCATTGCCAGAGGAGCAGCTTCTGCTGCCCTGCATTGCCAGAGGAGCAGCTTCTGCTGCCCTGCATTGCCAGAGGAGCAGCTTCCTGTGCCCTGCATTGCCAGAGGAGCAGCTTCCTGCTGCCCTGCATTCCCACAGGAGCAGCTTCTGCTGCCCTGCATTGCCAGAGGAGCAGCTTTGTGCTGCCCTGCATTGCCAGAGGAGCAGCTTCCTGTGCCCTGCATTGCCAGAGGAGCAGCTTCCTGCTGCCCTGCATTCCCACAGGAGCAGCTTCTGCTGCCCTGCATTGCCAGAGGAGCAGCTTTGTGCTGCCCTGCATTGCCAGAGGAGCAGCTTCTGCTGCCCTGCATTGCCAGAGGAGCAGCTTCTGCTGCCCTGCACTCCCAGAGGAGCAGCTCCTGCTGCCCTGCATTGCCAGAGGGAGCCCAGGCCCATCTCCAGCAGCCCTGGAGCTGCAGAGGAAAACTCCCCCCTTGTGCAGGATCCCTGCTCCAGCAGAGCCACAGCTGGCACTGCAGGAGGGCTGAGCCCCCATGGGATGGGGCTGTGCCACCCCCCTGACACACAGGGGGCAGGGACTGCTCTCACTCTGGCTGGGGTTTGTTTTCTTTTTTGTACTTTTGTATTTTTAAATTTCCTAATAAAGAACTGTTATTCCTATTCCCATAGCTTTTCCTCAGAGCCCCTTAATTTCAAAAATATAATATTTTGGGGGGAGGGGGGTTACACTTTCCATTTCAGGGAGGCTTCTGCCTTCCTTAGCAGACATCTCTCTTTCCAGACCAGCTGTCAGTCAGTGCCCAGCAGTGGGCAGAGCCCCACAGCACCAGCACGCTCTGGAAACAGCAGGTTAGCAATCACAGAACATTTGGGTCAGAGAGACCAGGGAGGCATAAAACTGTAGAAAATTATATATTGGGCCAAGAAACCAAAAAATTATCAAAATAGAGCAAATCATTGCAGGCGTAACAACACTATGTGAGAAACCCCCACCAATTCCTATTAATTATAATTTTATTTCTGAATATCATAAGAATGCTGCTTAATGAGCTATCAGTTTTGGATGATGCCCTGTTGAGTCCCAGGCCAAACTAAGTGTGATTTCAATTAACAAAGAAACGAGAGAAGAAAGGAGGAGAGAAATGACAAAGAAACAACAAAAGACAAAAAATTACAATTCTTCTTTGCTGAGATTCAGATTTTCAAATTAAATAAGCATCACATGGAAGGAATAGTTGGTGCACAGAGAGCTAAACATGCATTTGAACAGAAATAGTTAAGGATGCCATTTCCAGGAATAGAAAGGAGCCAGAGAGAGCCAACTGCAGACAGACAGAGATATGCTAAACCCTCTCTCACACATTTTCTTAAGATGTCTGTGCATAATTCAATTTGAAGCCCAGGCTCATACCAAAATATATAACTTCACATCGCAGTACATGCCTGCCTCAATGGACTTAAGTTTCACTTGAGCAACATATGGAAAACATCTGCCTATTGCAACCTAGTATGGCTCCTTTCTGTAAACCCTTGGAAGTCCTCACGGCCTCTTTGGATTTGGTTTCCAAGAGGAATCAGCTCTCTGGCCTGCTGCTTTTCCTCCCATTTACATCTGAGCCGGATGATTTCAGAAGATAAGCAGATCTGTTCATGGATGGTAGGAAAAGGATATTTGGGTTCAGACTGGAGCACGTGGGGCTCCTGCCAGATACAGAAAATGCACCCCAGAACACAGCTGGGTCTCACAACCTCCCCCTGAGCCAAGAAATGAGCACATAACTCAGGGCAGGTTCAGACAGCTCTGAGCCCAACAGCTTGTAATGATCCCTGAGGGTCCCCATCCTTCTCAGGAGTGGCTCTCCACTCCAGCCAGCCACACTTCTGCACCTTGTCCTGCTTGGAGAATCCCTGGCTGCTTCCCAGGGGCTGCCCCAAGCCCCCTGTGCAGCCCAGCAGTGCCAAAGGCCAGGTCAGACCCCACTCCCACCCCACGGACACGGCAAACTAATCTTGTCCTGTTCTACACAGTCACAAAGGCCAGGGGCAAAGGAAAGAGATTTGCTGATGAATCACCCTGAAAAGATGAGCAAACTGCTCCACTCTGGCCATTTTCTAACCATGTTCCCTGGGCTCTTCCCAGTGGATCTGGATAAAAATGTCACCGCTAACATTGCATGGGATTGATGCCAAGCACCCATTCCCCCAGAGGAGCACCTGGAGATCAGGGAAAGGTTCTTCCCCAGAGGGTGCTGGCACTGCCCAGGCTCCCCAGGGCAGGGCACAGCCCTGAGGCTGCCAGGAGAGTTTGGACAGCGCTGCCAGGGATGCCCAGGCTGGGAGTGTTGGGATATCTGGGCAGGGCCAGGGGTTGGGTGGGAGGATCCTTGGGGGTCCTTTCCAACCCAGGATGAGTGTGGATGCACTGGAACTTTCATAGACTCATGTCATAGCTTGAAATCAAAACATTTTGTACTGAATACACCAAAAATGATTTTCTCTCCAGATGACGTTGTGCTTCCAGCACTAAGTCCTTTCTTTGCACTGGGAGTTTTCTGCCCACATGGAGCAGAGCCCTTAAACTCCAGTCAAATTTCAGCAATGATTGCAAAAGATGAAATTCCCGTATTCCTGGACAGGCAAATTTCCTCCCAGCTATAGAAGTGTGCTGGGAAGGAATCCAGGAGGCAGAAACAAAAATAACAGCTTTAAGCAAGGAAAGACACCATCCTGAGCCATGCTATTGCCTAAGCTGGGATGTCAGGGATAGGAAGGGATCTGGAAGGGAAGACTGATTATTTAGTCTGGCAAAGGAGCGTTTGGAGTGTGGGGTGTATCAGAGAAGTGATGCAATCACAGATGATGGACTGCAGCCACCAAACCTCTCTAACAAAAAATACTTTGTGCTAGCACAGCTTTGGGCAGCTTCCTGCAGCAAACACCGCTGGGCTGATATTCCCTAACCAAGATAAATGGAAAGCAAAGGCAAGCAGAGCAATCCCCTCCCTCTGCAGGGAGATTGAAGTGACCTCACTGACATGGAATTGCTTTTAAGTGAAGAACCTGTGTGCACACACGTGTAAATAATCCCAGATATCCCAGTTTGGGTCTGTTCTTCAGAGACCTCAAGAAAGGTCAGCAGGCACAACCCAGTTGGCCACTTTCTGGTCTTTTCATGTTTGAGGTAGCAAGGGATACTCAGAGCTGTTTGTTTGTCACATCTTTATGGGCTCCCAGGGGATTTATGCACACCCAGCTCCCCAAGCCCCTGATTCCCAGAGCTTGGACAGCCAGAGGTGATATCGGGAATTCTGAATAATTCATTTGTTCCAAATCTTGCTTCATCTACCTTAGTCTAAACTAAGAAAATGTTTGTTGTGTGAGAATGGAAAAAACCATCCCACTCAACTCCCTAAATGTCTTCCTTCCCTGTTCCTTCCCTGCCACCCTGACCCCCAGTACTTTCCAGATTAGATTTCCTCACCCTTCCCAAGCAGACCACACGCTGGGAATGGCACCATTCCAGCACACAGTGTCCTACAGCTGGGGACACTCCACGGAGGGACCCCAGGGGCGTGGTGGGGTGGTGCCAGCCCTGCACCACTCCTGGCAAAGGCTGCCCTGAGCTCCAGCTCTGCCCATCCCAGCAGCACAGAAAGCTCAGGAAGAGCGAGGGCCCTGGAGCGCATTGCAGTGTCCCGTGGGCAGATGGGTTTTCACTCCAAAGGGAGTTTCCAAAGACAAAACTCAAGCACCAAGACTAGTTTTTCCCCCAGGATGACTCAGGTTTGGCACATACCTGCTGGAAAGTCATGGAAGCATTTAGGTTGGAAAGGACCTCCAGGATCAGAGTCCAAGCTGTGCCCCGTCCCCACCTTGTCCCCAGGGAGGAATTCCTCCCCAGCACCCAAGGCACAGGTAGTGCAGGTTTGTATAAGCAAAACCAGAGACACAAATGGAAAGGGAGCACAGATTCCAAGTCAGATGTAATTACAGGAGGGTTTTTTTGCTATTCTCTGGATGTTTCATAGCCAACACACAATTTGTATGAGATCATCCCTAATCTCACCTAAGCAAAGCATCTCTGACATGATTATTAGCCTGTTTAACCAATAGGATTACATTATTTAAACCAGATTAATACCAATAAGACTTAGACTAAATTAATGTTTCATCCAAAAGCACCTTGTTTTCCTTTTTCAAAGGTAACAGGCACAACTCTGATTGTGCAGCTGCAGATTTACAGTTCCCAAAACAGGATACAGCACCAACTGATTATCCACGGAATAATGGTGGTGTAAGTGCTAATTAGTGCTGGAAAAGCAGGACCCTAACAAGCTGTTAGAACTCCTTAAGAGCTCTCCTTTATTACTTAAAGCAATAAATTGTTGGTATATAACAGAATTTATTATACAGCAGCACCTAACCCTCCAAAAAAGCTGCACTATTTAGCTAAACCAGACACGTGTATCCAAACCAACTCCAGGTATGTTTATTTTTCTACCAATCCCCTCCACAGCCCTGGCACACACCGACCACAAACTGAACTTGCAGGGAACACTTTCTTTCGCACAAGCGACACAAAACAACCCAACCCAACCCGCGCAGCCCCAATCCGCCCTGGGGCGAGCCCGGCTCCCCCCTTGGCCACTCAGAGCATCCCGCAGGCCAACCTGGAGGGCTGGGATTGAGCAAACTGCCCGCCCCTTCCCTTCCCTTCCTTCCCCAGCCGGCCAAAAGGCGCAGCCGGGAGCGCTCGCTCATTCATTGGGCTCGGGCGCTGCCAGCGCTCATTCGCGGCTCTGCTGCGGCTCCTGCAGCTCCCGCACAGCCCCGGCTCTGCTGCAGCTCTCACAGCCCTGCAGCCTCTGCACAGCCCCGACTCCGCTGCGGCTCCCGCACAGCCCTGCAGCCTCTGCACAGCCCCGGCTCCGCTGCAGCTCTCACAGCCCTGCAGCCTCTGCACAGCCCCGGCTCCGCTGCGGCTCCCGCACAGCCCCGCAGCCTCTGCACAGCCCCGGCTCCGCTGCAGCTCCCGCACAGCCCCGGCTCCGCTGCAGCCCCTGCACAGCCCCGACTCCGCTGCGGCTCCCGCACAGCCCCGGCTCCGCTACAGCCCCTGCAGCTCCTGCACAGCCCCGGCTCCTCTGCAGCCCCCGCACAGCCCCGGGAGCGCCAGGAGAATGCTGCCCCGAGAGCTCCTGTCCCTGCTCACGCTGCTCTGTGCTTTCAGGGCTTCTGGCTCTGTGGTGGGTGAAGACGATGACTACGAGCTCATGTACGTGAACCTGGATAATGAAATCGAAGGTCCAGCTCCTGCGACTGAGGAAGGTGAGTAAATTTAAACTCAGTTTAAGTGCAGAAGTGCCTTCGGTGCTGCCTAGCTCTTGTAAGAGTTATTACTGCAAACATAATTTACTTTTTCCAGAGGGAGAAGCTCGTGGCAGTGGGTTGTTATGGGCAGTAAAGGTAAAGCCCTTGGATGGGGTACCTTGGGCTGTGCTTTAGGCTCTTGATTTCCCAGTTTTCCTGCCAAAGGCTGCTGCTGTCCCAGGAGTTTAGGATCTCTGTAATCACACCCCTGCACGGTTCTGTCCTGATACAGAGGGAAAGGCACTGGCCCCAGCACGGCAGGGGGCTGGAACCAGATTGTCTGTAAGGTCCCTTCCAGCCCAAACCAGTCTGAGCCCACGACTCTGTGACAGTCTGGAGGACACAGCCTTGCACAGAGCCAGGTTTTGCCCAACTCTGCCGTGTAAAACTCGGTACCAAGGAACAGCAACATCCGTACATTCCCTTCCAGCTGCTTCGTGCGACTGCCAGCGGGAGCACAGCAAGTGGGACAAGCTGTTCATCATGCTGGAGAACTCGCAGATGAAGGAGAACATGATGCTGCAGGCTCTGGAGGAGCTGCCCAGGCCGGAGCTGCAGACTCTGAAGGCAGAGCTGAGCCAGCTGGCCACCACCCTGGCGGGCACCGTCGCCACCGTCACCTCGCGCGTGGTGTCCCAGGTGGAGCAGGCGCTGCTGAGGAGCAGGGACCAGGCTGAGGAGGCCAGGAGGCTGCAGGAGTCGGAGCAAGGGAAGGTTCTGGAGCACGTCCTGCAGCTGAGCCACAACGTGTCGGCGAGGCTGGGCTGGCTGGAGAGCGCCTGGCGCCGCAGGGCCGAGGAGCAGGCACAGCAAACAGCCCTGCAGCAGGACAAACAGCACGGCAGCACCGGGGACAGCCTCATCCTGAGCTCGCTGTGGAAGGAGCTGCAGCAGACCCGGGCTGAGCTCAGGGCGTCACAGCAATGGGCAGCTCAGCACCTGCTGCCAGCAGGTAAGGCCAGCCTGAGAGCTCGGGGGAGGCCACTCCAGACTAACAGGGATCCACAGACCCCCTCCAGGGCACCTCCTTCTGCAAGGGCTCCAAAGCAGCCCCAGGAGCTGCAGGGCAGCTTGGAACAGGCTGTGTGTGAAGGGGGGAACCCCAGAACTCATGGAAAGGGAGGCACTGAGCTTCTCAAACATAGGATCAAAGAAAAGTTTCATCAAAGTCCTCGTGCAGGGCAGAGCCAGCCAGGATCCCACCTCCTCCCGCTTTCCCAGATCAAAGCCATTGTCAGAGAGCAGTAAATGTATTTTAGACATCCAGATTATGTTCTCTCACCTTTTGCCTTCCCAGCTGGTGACTCCTGTGCATTTTCAGCAGTCATGGAGCTCTCCAGTTCTCCTGCATGTTCCCACTCCTTCCTCTTCCTCCATGGGCATCTCCTCACCAGCTCCGGTGCCCAAGAGCTGGACATGCTGCTGCCAGCCAGCCAAGCAGCTTCCAGGGCAGGGAGGGCACATTCCCTGCATGCCAGTGGGAATATTCTGCCCCGAATATTCCCACTGGCACAGAGAAATCAGTGACCCGTGCTGCCGTTGTTGGGATTTTTCCTTTTCCAGAACATTTGCACTGGTGAGTAGGGTGGCCATAGAAAGGTGGGCTCACACCTCAAATCCCAAACTCAGCTTTTCTGTGCAGGGCAAGGAGACACCCAGAAAAGCAGCAGCAGCAGCAGCTTGGGTGTGGCAGAGCAGCCCCTCATTTGTTGAAATATGGGTGCAGAATCACCATGTGCAAGACAAACTGCGCTGAAATCACCCTGCCCACCAGTGAGCTGTCACTGCCAGGCTTCTAACTGCTGGTAAATGGCTCTGCTTTCCACAAATATGAGTTATTGCCACCTAAACCCCCCCAAAATCTACCCCTGCAGGGTGGATGCATAGGAGGGAGGGGGTGCAGCATCTCCAGAGGGAACTCTCACATCAGGGAGCAGAGAGGAGCAGTAATTGCCACAGCAAAGGCAACAAAAGCCACAGAATTGTTCACATCAAAGCCTTTCCAGCCTAACCTGAGCCCATCCCTTCACGCAAGGCAGACTCAGCCTTAGAAGTAAATTGTTTTCACTGCTTTATCACAACACTTCAGAAGTCTTTGTGTGTTGGGAGGAGGTTTTTGAGCAGATTCCTCTTTTCCCCAAACACAAACCTTGCAGAGAGCATGATCTCATTCCTTACCTCCCTGTACCTCAGCCAGCCTCAGCAGCTACTCTGCACTAGGTGAGAGCAACAAACTCTATCTGCAGTGAGGATCATCAGTGGAAATTCACTTTATTTCCACTGGTTCCCACATGATTTTACATAAAACAACCATACTTGTAAATTTAAAGGCTATGTTTTAAGTACTTCCAGAGTATCTCTCTGGATTTTTTTTTCCAAGGGAATTTTTAGCAACTGACTTTAATTTTTCACATCTTGACTTACTGCCAGCCATACTCTTGAGGGATTTTCTAATCACACTTTTTTGTTCTTCACTGAGGCTGGTTTTAATTTTGTTTAGGCTTTGATAATAGAGCCTGAAAGCCTTCTAATTAAAATCTTTTTCACAATAGTGGCTCCTAAGTAGCATTTTAAGGAGAATCCCCAGCAGTTGCTCACTGACCCTACTCCTCCTCAAAAGGGTCAATGGGAGATGTAAAATCTGCTCAAAGCTGGAGGGAAGCAGCCCATGAAATACCACAGCAGCTCAGTCCTGGAGGGCACAAAGAGTCCTTCATTCCCTGGAGCAGAAATTTCCACACACGTTTTAGACATTTCGGATCCTCCAGCTTCTTTAAACAGGAAATGAAGCAGCTTAATTGGAGAAGGGGCTGCTTGTTCCCTCCTGTCACTTTGGATATTAACTTAGGTGCAACCAGGGAGCAGCACAGAAACCACCAGAAATGTCTTGGCTTCACTGATCACCAGTTGCTTTCCCAAGTTGCATAAATTTCTGTTAGTGGTTTTAAATAATCTAATTTCTATTTTCAACACTTTGATTGATTGGACATGAGAGAAGAGCTGGTTAAAAAGTATCAGTTGTCTCATAATTTCCCCCACTTAACCAGTGCCCGTGAAAACTCCTGACCAAAAATCCTAAAGGCAGGGCCAGGAAAGGAAGTCATGTAAATTAAGGAAGCAAACCCATCTCAGCATGTTCCTGCCAGCATTTTCTGCTTCTCAGCAGCTCCTGTGCCCTGATGCCCATTATCCATGGCACAGCCTCCAGCAGTTCCCTTCTCCAGGCACAGCCTCCCCCCCTCTCCTGGGAATGCCAAACCTGCTGTTTGAGGGGATCCCTGACCCCTTCCCTCTGCACAACATTGGTATTTTCACTACCCCAGACTTAGAGGATAAAACAACATTCAGTGGCGCCGGGGGAGGGTTGGTTACCCAATTACCTGGCAGAATTACCCAATTCCTGGGGCTGACAGAGTCCCTCTCCCAGGGGTGGTGCTCTGTTCAGAGCTTCCCAAAGGAAGCAGCAGGGCAGACAGGCTGCATTAACCCTTTGGATGTCCCAGGACTGTACAGTGCCCGCTGTGCAGGCAGGGAAGAGCCTAGAGATTCCTGCAGCCGGATTATCCCCTGCCATAGTGTCCAGCAATTCCTCCACCAGCTCTGACAGCTCCTTCCAATCCTCCTGGGGTAGGTTCCTGCATCCCACTGGATGAGCTGAGCTCTTGGCTCCCTTTGGGAAGCCTAGAAGTGAGCACTGGCTCATTGGGACAGTCTGCCCAGAGGGGTGATGGAGTCCCCATCCGTGGAAGAGCTCAGAAATGGGTGGATGTGGCACTTGAGGGCCTGGTTGAGTGGTGAACACGGTGGTGCCAGGCTGGCAGTTCACAGAATGATGGAATGATTTGGGATGAAGGGATCTTTAAAGATGATCTTCTTCCAATCCCACCTGCCATGGGCAGGGACACCTTTCCCTGTCCCAGGCTGCTCCAAGGCTCAGTGTCCAGCCTGGCCTTGGGCACTGCCAGGGATGGGGCAGCCACAACTCAGTGATCACAGAGGTCTTTCCCAACCTTAATGATGCCATGCAGTGTCAAAGGTCCCAGCTGTGCACATACAAATAACCCAGTTCCTGTTTACCTGACAATCTCCTAAACCCTTCCAGGCTGTGAAACCGCCATTCTGTTCCCCATGCGCTCGAGGAAGATCTTTGGGAGCGTGCACCCAACCTCTGGAATGACCCTGAGCTCCTTCACTGCCTGCATCTGGCTCAAGGTGACCGAGGCCTTGGACAAAACCATCGTCTTCTCCTACGGAACCAGGTTCAACCCCTACGAGATCCAGCTGTACCTGAGCCGGGCCTCGGCCGTGCTGGCCGTGGGCAGTGCCCAGCACAAGCTGGCCGCCACCAACGTGGTGGTTCCTGGCAAGTGGCTCCACCTGTGCGGCTCCTGGAGCTCGGAGAACGGATCTGCCTCCCTGTGGGCACAGGGGGAGCTGGCAGCCAGCGCCTGGCACGTGGCCGGGGCCCACACCATCCCCGACGGGGGCATCCTGCAGCTGGGCCAGGAGAAGAACGGCTGCTGCGTGGGAGGGGGCTTCGACGAAGCTCTGGCCTTCTCGGGGAAGCTGACTGGCTTTAACCTGTGGGACCGAGTGCTCAGCCCCGCCGAGGTGACAGCCCAGAGCACGGGGGACACCTGTGGCACCCGGGGCAACGTGGTGGGCTGGGGGGTCACCGAGGTGCTGCCCTATGGAGGGGCCCAGTACGTGTCCTAAAGCTGGGGGCTGCACAGGGATGGATTGCACGGAGCTGAACATCAACATTGCAGCAGCCAGAGCTGCAGCAGTCCCTGCCTCTGGAATTCCCAAGCAACAGCAGCCCTGCAAGGTCACAGAAGGAGGCACCGTGGAGATGGGATAGATCTCTGCCTGCTGTCCTGGAGAAACCCTGAAAACACAGCCACACACCAAGGGGTGGCACTGGGAAAGCTGTTCCTGGGGCCAGGCAGCTCTGCCTCTCCAGTGCAGGGTTTCTGATGTATAAAGTGAGGGTCACCATGGACATTCAGGAGCCAAACGGAGCTCCCAACATCCCTGCAGAGGAAAATCTGACCTGGCTCTGCAAAACACAGCAGCTGTGGCTGCCTCTGGATTCCTTCCTGGCAGTGTCCCAGGCCAGGTTGGACACTGGGGCTTAGAGCAACCTGGGACAGTGGAAAGTGTCCCTACCCATGGCAGGGGGTGACACTGGATGAGCTTTAAGGTCCATTCCAACCCAAACCATTCCATGCTCCCTCCAGTCCTTGGGTTCTATACTGCTAATGTGAATTTTAAGAGGAACCACCCAAATCAAGAAATGTGTTGTCTATTAATCCTTGTTAGTAATGTGTAGGCTCTAAGAAAGCTAGTTCCTTGTTTAAAGCATTATTTATGCCATGGATTGATATAAAAATAATATTCCCCATCATAATCTGACCTGACATTGGGAGGAAATTCAGCTGTATTATATTGTACATTGACTTTGTGATAATTTTATTGAAATTATTTTTGTAAAGTTGTTTTGTAAATAAAGATACTTGACTAGACTAAAACTCTCTATTCTTCTCATAAGCCAAAATTCTGAACCAAGTCCCAAGTGAGGCTTTTTCCACATTTTGAACCATGCAGTTTTAGCTGCTGATAGAGAAAACACCAATAGCAACATCTCACAGGAGCAGGGACCTCATGCACAATCCTGGCCCTCTAGGGCCAGGTTTTAAGGTACATTTGGACTTGTTTGCTGTCCTCAGGGGGTTTGTACAAGATGGAATTGCTGCTAAGTGCCAGTGATTCTCTTCTCTCTCACACAAACTTATCCCAAATCCCCTAAAAGCCTCGGGCTGGATACAGAGCACAGCAGCAGCTGCAGAGAGCCAAGGAACTGCTGATGATTTTCATGTAGAAAACAGAGCTCAAGCAGAGAATGATGAATACCCTACTCACTGGGTATGTAACCATTTACAACAAGAACCATTACTTGCTACCTGTTGAAGCCTCTGAAGAAGTTATCATGAGGAATGTCTTATTCAAACAATTCCTATTTCCCCTGGAAGCAGCCCATCCTTCTTCTCTAGTCCCATGTTTTCTTTCATTCTCCACAGATGTCCTGATAACACACTTTGACAAATTTCTTGGCATGTTCCTGCTACACTTCCTCCTGGCCATGACAGATCCTTGCTGCCCAGACACAAAAGTAGTAAAAAAAGGTAAATTCCACTTTCCTGTGCCATTCAAGAGGGTTGTGCTTCATACCTAAAGTTATACGACCTGCTCCAAAGTTTTGGCAGCACTGCTTATTTAAGGGAAAAGAATTGCTCTGATTGCTGGGATTTCTCCTGTTACCCTGCAATAAAAATGTATCTACATTATAAATGCTTGGCAGTAAACTTGACAAAAATCCCTCACTAAGTAATATGTGCAAATAACCTTAGCTAGAGAACAGTGAAATACTACCTCTGTTCATCTCTGGCAGCCAAAACCCAGATCTTCAGAGTTACAAAAACACTCAGGGTCCCACCATTGTGCAATGGCAAAACCACTCTCAAATCCTCCCTCTGTTCAGTGCCCTCCATTAAGTGAAAACAAATGTCCCTGAAATGCAGCAGGAAAAGGAAAATCCTCAAAAAGATCTCCAGAAATCCTTGCTGGCTTCTCCTCTTACTGCAGCTCATACCTGAAATGCTTTGTCTTGGAAGCCTTCTCCTGTCTCAGCTCAGGTTTGGCAGAGGACCAAAGGCTAAGCCAGGCCTTCCATCCTCACTGACTCAGCTGGAAAACTTCCCTTTTCCAGAGTGCTCTGCTCTTCCTTCACAGAATCACAGAATTTCTAGGTTGGAAGAGACCTTCAAGATCGAGTCCAACCCATGTTCTAACACCTCAGCTAGATCATGGCACCAAGTGCCACATCCAGTCTTTTTTTAAACACATCAAGGGATGGTGACTCCACCACCTCCCTGGGTAGATGATTCCAGTATTTGTCCATTCTTTCTGTCAAAAACTTCCTCCTTAATTCTAGCCTGCATCTCCCTTGGCGCAGCTCGAGACTGTGTCCTCTTGTTCTGTCTGTTGTTGCCCCAGCAGCAGCAAAGCTCTCCCAGAGCCCAGCAGCCCAGCCCACCTCCTCCAGCACAATTCTCTCCTTCCTTCCTCGCTCAACTGCACTTTCCTTTGGAGCAGTTCGGAGGACAGAGCATTTTGGGCATTTTGGGCTCCAGTTATGAAAAAACCTCCGCAATCCTGCCCTGCCAACACAGATGGGGGAGCGAGGCTGAGCCACAGCCCAGCACCACAGGATGCCTGAGCTGCCCTGGAAGGTGGAGCAGCCACGGGGCGCTCGGATTACAGGGCAGAGCTGCTGCTGTCCCCCGGGAGTAAACGGGAATGAATCCGTGTGAGCCCGGTGCTGACGGGCGGTGTCAGCGCAGAGCTCAGAGCCCACGCTGCTGCGGCAGAGCAGTCAAACCCTTCCCAAAGAGCCCTTTTTTGGCTAATGAGATAAGAACCTGCTCGTGCAGCCAAAGAGTTGCCCCAAGTAACGAAAAACTCCAGTTCCTCTCCAGCATTTGCAGGCAAGGGGCCAAGGTTTGCTCAGCCTGGTGCCACGAGGCTGGGCCCCGTCTGTGCAGCCCCACAACACGGCTTTGTCTCCAAAAGCTGCCTTGGAAATCCATCCTCGGCAGCCAAGCCTCCCGCCCCCTTCAGCAAACACTCAGGGCAGCTCCGAGTTCCCAGCCTGCTGCAAACCCAGCCTCACACACCAATTATGCGCAGGGTAATTAAGTCATTACGCCAAACAAATCGTTTTGCTTGTTCCGAGCGGCCCCTTCCAGGCTGGAATTCCCAAACCTGATATCCACAGCAACATCTGCTGGTGGAAGAACATAAATACACAACTCGGCCGTGCTGAAACCTTCCGTTGTGGCTGTGCATCACTTTTCCCAAAACCATGGATATATTCACTATTTCTTTCTCTTACTACCGCACAAAGTACAGATGGCAACACCTAACGTTAGCACATCAGTAAGTCTTAAAAGAATAAATTTATAAATTATTTTATAAATTAATAAATACAGGATACACACGTTTATTTTGAGGGCTTAACACCTTTAGAACAATGTTCTTTTAATAATTAGTTATTGCTACTTACTGCTATCACCCCTACTCGAAGGAGAACACTGATTTTACCACTGCAGTAGCACTGTGTTGCAACAAACACTGTGAACTTTATTACTCCAATTCAACTGGAGTTCCTTTTATAGAGGAATGAATATTTTTGGCTTTTTAAACCACAAAAAATAAAATGTAAAGAGATTAGCAACATTGTTCTATATAAAGCTAATAACATAGGCAAAATGAAAGAACCACTACAAAGCTTTTATATCTTCCATCTGACTATTCCACCACAGAATGGGATTAATTTCATCCCCATTTCTCTTTTGGAGCCTTGCCAGTGACACTAAGAGGAAGGATAAGAGCTCCATGGCTGGTGCCTCATATCAGGGCTGATAATTTGGAGTCCATTAGCAGGGAATATTAACGAGTACAGACGTATTTCCTGCCCTGTGGGTCAGCCAATCCATACCAAAACCTCCAGAGGTGCAGTAAATTCACATATTCCTTGAGAAAGTCTGTTGTTAGTGTGATTAATACATTTGATGACATTTATGGATATTTCCATAAGTCTGCTTTATACAGCTCATATGATTTGGTGAATGGTCAGATTGATCCTGGAGTCCTTCCCACCCTTAAAGATTGATTGATTCTATAAGACCATGGCTCTGTACCTGCCCAGCACAGCCTGATGTGGTCACACACCTGGATTAAACCCCAGCTCAGGGCTGGGCCTACCTTGCAGGACACTCCTGACGATGGTTTCTGTGTGCTCAGCCAGCAGCTCAGCCTTGGCAATGGCAGCCAAGGACAGGTAGCTGGACATGTTCCTGCACAGCTCCTTGTTGCCCCTCTGCAGGAACTTCACTGCCACTGGCACAGCCAAGGCCATCACTGGAGGCCGGTTGTAATTCTGCAAAAACAGGGAAAAAAAGATTTATATAATAGTCTTGTGCTGGGCAGAGTAGGGAAACCAAAGTCAAAGCAACAGGGGGAAAAGAGAAAAAAACTTGTCAAGAAAGGTCATGTTTTGGTGCCACCACTGTAGGCAGGAGTCAAAGAAAGAGCAAATACAGAAATTTAAAACCACTGTAGCAGGAAAAGTTAAGAATAGTCCTATTTTTGTCTTCTGCTAGAGGAAGCAGAAGGGCTTTAACAAAATATGTGGTGCATAAATAAAAATCAGTATAAATAAAATATAGAAGATATGAAGTGCACTAAGTACATGTTACCATTTCTAATGAGACATCTTGTGTTTGGTGCTCCCTGGGAAGACAGAGGCTGTATCCATCATCCCAAAGCACAGGAAACACCTTGGAGCAGCCACTCACTCCCTGGAACTGCACTGGACACTTGCTCACAGTGTAACAGCTCTAGTATTGATCATTAATTATTCTGTAATCATTAAGATTTCATTTTTTTATTTAAACTCACAGAATCCCAGAAGGGTTTGGGTTGGAAAGGTCCTTAAAGCTCACCAGCCTGTTCCAGCCCTGCCATGGCAGGGACACCTCCCACTGTCCCAGGTTGTTCCAGCCTGGCCTTGGGCACTGCCAGGGATCCAGGGCAGCCACAGCTGCTCTGGGCACATCCACCAATTCCTCTGAACACTGAGCTCTTTCAGGAGTGCAAACTCCTCTTCCTAAAATGGCTCCAAGCTTCTGAAATCTCAGGGTCCCTGAGTGTACAGTGAGGTTTGGAATCAAGGTCAGAAAAGGTTTTCTGCTACTACCTATACAGCAAATTGTGTGTACAAAGCACACACATCCATTGCCTGCTGAATTCCCACAGCAGCAGGACACATTTGTGTGTCACTGAGCACCCACATTCCTCTGGAGCCTCCTTAACCAGTGCTGTGCTCTCCTCTCCACTCAGATCTTTGAAACTGGAGCACACCCCTTTTGCTGAAAATAATCCTGCAGTGTGATTGTGTCTAATTAGCAGCTGAAATCCCAGGCAAACCTGGAACCCAGATGTTTCAGACAGCAACAGAACAGTGCTAAGGAAGGCAGAGCAGATTTTCTGGACTATCATTCTGGAGCAGCCCTGACTAGAATAAATTTAGACTGAGAAACCCCAAATCTGTTATTCCACAGAGCCTGAGTGACTCTGAGGATTTTCCCCTGGAGCAGAGACTTGCCAAGCAGTGGACACTCCCTCCCAGAGACCCCTGAGGAAGAAGGGGCTGCAGCCACCCCTTGGTGTCAAGACAGATCATTCTGGCAGCTGCCATATGACCAAAAGCTGCATCTTTAATGAGAAAAGCCCTTCAAATAAATGGAGCTTTCTGCAGCAGCATGTTTAAATCAACATAATGCCTTGTTATGTTTGGCTGAGACACCACGGAGCAGGAGCCAAATGCTGCTCCAAGTTATTGCTCTGCTACTCCACACAAAGAATGGGAAGATAAGGCTTGGCTCTCTGACTAGGATTTAAAAGATCTAAGACAATTCCAAAGAACAATTCTTTTTTTTTTTTTCCCCACCCCTTACAATAAAGATAAAATCCTTAGTTAAGAAAAGGTTTGGATTCAGAGGGAAGGAGAAAGGTTTCATTTGTTCCATGATAAACATCAGGGCAGGAAGGCACACTCAGAAGATGGAGAGGTGACAATGAAGAGCAGATTTCAATAAAGTGATACAGTGACGTTTGCAAACCTTGGGGACCTCCCTGCTGCTGATATCAACAGAGCCCTGCCTGAGATCCAGCCCAGCTGGCAGATATTCATTATTGTTCCAACTGTCCCCCACATCTGCTGGAAAACCTCAGTTTATACCTCTTTGTTTTAATGCAAAGGAACTTGCCAATAAAAGCTTTGGTTTAGGGAGCAGCAAATGTACTTTTAGAACTCAGCTGTGGCTGCCCCTGGATCCCTGGCAGTGCCCAAGGCCAGGTTGGACAGGGCTTGGAGCAGCCTGGGACAGTGGGAGGTGTCCCTGCCACGGCAGGGGTGGCACTGGATGGACTTTGAGGTCCTTCCATCCCAACCCATTCCATGGTTCTATGAGTTACCTCAATGATCTCAAGAGAGGAGGAATCAGAGCAGTGCAATTCCCCAAGCTCTGAGTTTTAAACATCACCACTCACAAGCACCCAAAAAGAGAGTTACCAAAGCATTTTAAAAAATAAAACCAAAACAATTGGCAATGAGAACACAGCACCGCTGCTCTCAGCCCAGCTCTACCTGCAGGATACAGCTCATGATGTCAGATGCAATTTTGGCATGTGGGGCATCCTCATCCTTGCCAGAGGGCGTCAGGTTGTGCTCCAGGCAGGACTCCCAGAGAGCCACCAGGGCCCTGCCGTGCCTGTCGATGGAGGCAGTCTCCCTGATGGCCGTGGTGATGCGGGTGATGCAGATCTCCACCACAGCCTGGTCGTTGTCGTTGGTCTGGTAGTCCTGGGGCAAGCAAAACACACCTGCAGTGAGCTGCTCTGCCAGCACCCCACCAAATTCAGGTTTTGTAGCGGTCCAGGGTCCATTTTTCCATGTCTGCCTTTACAACAAATGTTCAGCGTGACAGAACTCCGGAATTTGTCATCCCACAGGTCTTAATTCTCATTACTGGGAAGGTATGGACCCCTGTAACCTTATATAATCTTTAATATGTTTTAAATAACTACTTAATAAAAATCATTATGTTTCAAGTTTATTATAGCATTATATACAATATATATAATAATATAATACAATAAACTATATTATATATAGTTTAAACATACATAGTTTAAATATAACATATATTAATGTAACATATATTAATGTAACATATATTAATGTAACATATATTATATTGATATATTAATATACATTATATTTAATGTAATATATATTAAATACATATATATTATATTATTATATTTCAAGTTCATCCTTCAAGATGAACTTGAAATATCTTTGAATCTGGTGGGAACTGGATTTTGTCAGCATATTTTTAAATATTTTTAAATATTTAAGATATATTTTTTTTTCTATAAATAGATATATATAAAGAAAAAATATAAATATAAATATAAATATAAATATAATAGATATATAAAATATATAAAATATAGAATTTATAAACTATTTGTATATACATAAAAATATAAATAAAATATAAATATTTCTAAAAATTTCTAAATATATTTTAATTATGTTCTCTTCAAGTCTTATCAGAAATTTAAATTGTTTATATACCCCCCCCCCTTATTTAGACAATATCATCTAATAAAAAAATTTATTCAGTACAACGTTTCACTCACTGCAGCTGAACTAATGATTCTGATCTGTTCAAGAGCTTCAGAGAGGCTTCCTTCGATCTCAGCATCCTCCAGGGAGAAGAGGTCCCCTGCCCGGGACAGGTCCTTCTGTGCCAACACCAGCCCGAAGAGGTGATGCATGGCCCTGCTCAGCCGCCCTCTGCGGGCACCATGGGCACTCAGCTGGGCACAAAACGGGAACGGTCCCAGCCAGGAGCAGTCGGGTTCATATGAAGGACAAATCTGGGCTGTATTTCAAGGCTTCCTTCGCCCCAGTCTTAAAGAAAACAATTAAAAAAAAAATAAAAAAGAAGAAAAGCTAGCAAATGCATTGATTGACATATTCCAGTTTAGCAAAGATTTTTAAGTGTATATGAAAGCTCCAGAAAGGACCCCTGAGCCAGGGACATCCTCAAGCACATTCATGAACTGTGTGAATTTTTACCTTCCAACACTAAGTAGCTTAAAATTAGATTAAAATATACATAATAACTGAACCAAAGGTTTTCTTTTCTGGGCTTGTTACCTGAGCAGGCTGGTCCCTGGACCAGCTGCTGAAGGTTCTAAATCCCTTTCCCTGGTGAGGAGCAGAGCTCCAGGAGGAGGAGGGTGAAGCCTCTTCCTTTCTTTCCTGGGTTGTTGTGTCTTGACTCCAGAAAAACATTACTAGCAAGATTGAGAAGATAGCGAGCTTTGTTTAGAAAAAAACTGTCACTTTTGTTGCCAAAATGATCCCTAGGGTCTTTTAAACTCCTGTAAAACAAAGCCTTGGCTGAGGTGAAACTCTGCTCTTCTGCTTGGCTGAGGAATGGAGCAGAGGCTGAGCCAGGCTCACTCTTTGGGAAGTGTCCTGCACTTGAGTCCCAAAACTCTGCTTAGGTCCCACGTGGATTCACTGCATCAGTTTCTCTGGATTCTTCTCTGGAGTTGACAAAGCCACAAGATATATCACTTACAATTATTATTTGAGATAGGGAGTACCCTAATCCCTATTTTATTATCTTTTTCAGAAAAAAAAAAAAAAAAAGGCAAAATATAATCACAGAATCACAGAACATTAAAGAGTTGGGAGGGACCTTAAAGCCCATCCAGTCCCAGCCCCCCTGCCATGGGCAGGGCCACCTCCTCCCACTAGCCCAGGTTGCCCAAGGCCTTACCCAACCTGGCTTTGAACGTGCCAGGCTTGGGGCATCCACAGAAGGGGCAAAACCGAGGCAAAACCCTGAGAACCTTCTGGAAGCAGCTCGCTGGACCAATCTCTATTTTAATAGGCAGCACACTGCACTTGCTAATCCAAATCAGGGCTGTTTTAATTTCCTCAGCTCCACCAATGCCATTCCACAGGACTCCCAGTCCCATTGAGCAGAAGCAGAAAGGAGCCGAGATTGCAAAGCCAGAGGCACAAATCACCCACCTGAAGCACGGGGAGGGCGGCAGGGCAGATGCTCTCACCTGCTCACACTCAGCCATTCACAAACCCAAAACCAGAAGGTCAGAAAGACTCAGACATAGATTTTTTTACCTGCTTGTGATCCCCCCAGGCCATCCTCAGGGATGGGGCCAGGTGCTCTGGGGACAAAGGCTGCCCCTTTGCTCCTGTCCCCCCGGGCAGCAGCCAGGGGCAGCAGGAAGGCTGGCAGGCAGGCAGGCATCCCGGGCTGTGAATTGCCACAGGGAAGGCATCCCAGGAATGCAGACTAAAGCAGCCTAAAAGTTACCCTTGGCTCCGTCAGGTGACCAAAGAACCCAAATGCAGTGAGGCCTTATCTCTGAATGAGCTGCTCTGTTTCCAGGGCAAAACACAAAGCCTGCTCCACTTGAGGGCAGTTGTTTTTAATAGAGGAAACAGAACTCTCTGTGTTAGTGGAAAGCTATCCTTCCCCGGGAAGGAGGGGAAACAGCCCTCAGTAAGCTCACACTGTTTGAAAGAAAGAGAACAAGTGAACGGCCTTGCTGGAGAGGAGATTTCCTGGCCACAGGAATAAATGCTGTCGTTCTGCAGCCTTTAAGTGAGCACAAAAGGGGGTCTGAGGTTTGCTTTGCCTTTTAACATGAGCCTCAGGAGCAGCACAACAAAATGTGCCCACATAATGCAGAAAAGTGCTCCAGGAAGGAGCCCTCCCCTTGGATCAGCTGCTCTGAAACACAGCAGCCCTTTCTGCAGGAGCTGGGCTGCATCATCCTCCTGAGTCCCCTCCAGCTCAGGATAGTCCCTGATCCTTGGGAATACCATTGGCCTTTTGCAAATGATCCTCCCCTGGGTGTGCTCCTGCACAGCAGTTTCTCAGAGAGCTCTTGAGCTCTACCCAAACAGAGAATTTTATGTGAGTTTTATAGACAACACTCAGGATAATGCAGGAAAACACTTATTTATTGTGAGCTCTTGGAAATGGAATTATAGCAAATCCTCTTAATGCTTACATTGTGTAACAGTGCTTGAAATACTTTCCTTCCATCAGCATTAAAGAGAATTGTTCCTTAAGCATTTCCTTGCTCACTACAAGATTTGCTATTAATAGGCAGCAGGCACTGAGCAAGAGAGAAAACAAATCATGTGTCTTATAAAATGTCATTTTTAAATTTTCTTTTTTTAAAGGGTCAAGCTGGGCAATGAAATTGCTGCAGGGTGTAGCTCCTGATGTGTCTCATCACCTTGAATCTCCATCAGCTTGACTCCACACCACCCATCAAAGTTTTCTCACTGCCTGTATTTGTGTCCCACACACAGAAGGAATGGAGAAGGCAAAGCGTTCGCCCAAAGTTTGTCCATCCTGCCTGGATCCCCCTGGCACTGCAGAGGGAATTCAGAGCAGGAATTCACACCTTTCCAGGGCCAGAACATCGGGAACAAAGCAGGAACTCTAGCGCTCAGAATAAACTTCAGCTCATCATTATGCAGGAAAACACCCTCAGCTTATAACACAAACCACTTGCACTGGTTCTGGTGCAGTCCCACATTAATTCCAAGGTTTGATCTGGTTTTCAACACCTCTTTTCCCTTTTCATGCCAAGCTGAAAGAGCCACCCTTTCCCTGGGACCTTGAAGCTGCTCCCCTCCAAGGTGAGTCTCTCCACTTGCTGCAGGCACACATTCTTACCAAAGCTCCTTATCAGAAGCAATCAGAATAAAAGCCAGCCTGACAGGTTTCAGAGCTTGAAGCTACTGAATTGGTGTGTTTGCAAAATAATTCCCCCAATAATAGAAGAGTAACAATAAAAATCCCATGTAAAAGGGCAGTCGGACCTACAGGCATCCAAAAGCCATTGAACTTGAGCTGAAAGGCTGAGCCTTAGAGTTTATCAGGAGCTCAGCTTCTGCAGAATGACATTAGAAGGACAAGAAAAAAATACCCTCTTAAACCAAAGAGGAAGTGAGAAAATATTTTTTTTTTAATATATTTACAGTGAAGGAAATTCTACAAGAAAATAATTTCCTTAACATCCAAAAGACTTGAAGTGTAAATCCAGCTGCTTGATTTTTGGGGTGTTATCGCACTGAAAACAGAACCACAACCTTCAAACAATTGTGCAATGACATTTTTTGTCTAGTACTGTACTACACAACATCCATCAGGAAAGCCTTCACTCTGTTTAAGGAATTTTAGGGAACTCAGGCCTCTGGAGTTCATGTTAAGTGAACCTTTACAGGATTTTCTGGTTTCTCCCTTGCTGGAGCTGCAGTGAGGACAGGGATGCTCCCATTTCCAATTTCTTATTCCCCACTGAAGGGCTGAGCCATCACAGGTCCCAAAGCTCTTTGCTAAACACAAGGACAAGCTCATTTCTGAAATCTTCAAAAATCTAAAAGGTATAGAATGAGCAGCCGGTTCAAAAATGTAACTTCAAGTGTCCAGTAAATTCCACAGGAGAGGAAAGTGATGTGGGAATTCCTTCTGCCTGGAGAGACTCATGTTAGAGAACTGGGAGCTGTTTTATTGTGGGAACAACACAGCCCAGAGCTCTGAGTAACCTTAAAAAGGAAACAAAAACTCTTTCCTTACCTCTCAGCCATGTTGCCATGCTTAACTCATGGATTACACAGAGTGCTTTGGATGAAAGGCACTGGAGGAAAACAGAAGGAAAATAGTGTCAGTGACTCCTTGCCTTTCCAGACTGTAAAACTCCCCCCAGGACTGCTCCAGGAATGATTGGTTTGCACCAAACAGGGTTTAACCCTCAGGACCCGGGCCCTTAAGGGCCAGGAGAGCAGCTCTGCTGAGCCCTGGGCTGGTTATTCACACAAGCACAGAGTGAACAGAGCAGGTCTGGATTTCCATGCTCTGGACTTTGCAGCTTGTAACAACTGCATATTTACTTGTCACTTCCTTTTCCATGAACGGCAGGAAGATTAGAACCATCCTCAAAGAAAAATTTGAATTTCAGGTAGAATTCCCTTCTCTTGAAATTCTTCTTCCCCATCTTACAAGAAAGAAATTCCACAAAATTCTGTCTCAAAGAGTTACAGAAGTTTGTAATATTGCCAAGACTGCTGGATACTTCCTTCCCCCCCCTACACTGACCCAGGGAAAAAAAAAAAGCCTGGACACATTTCCCAAGAACATCCACATATGCAATTCATGGACAGAATATTACAAGATATTTCAGAGAACTTTTCCCCTCTGTGTTGCACTAATCAAATTTTTTTTTTTTTTAATTTTTATGCTTGGAAAGCATTTACTCCCTAAAACAGAGCATTCTTTCAAAACTTGGAAATAAAGTTCTCACATTTTTCAGTGAAAGGAAAGGATTAAAGATTATATTGAGAGAGCATCATTTTCACACAGGGTGAATAGTCTACAGCAGTTCCCATGGGATCAGCTGCATATATTTAAAATCTTCCCACAAGACAACCATTGTTTCCTATGAGCCTCTCTCTTTTTTTCTGTCAGGACAGGTTTCCACACTTCACATCCCTTGAAATTCCATGGATGCTGAGCTGGACCAGATGATTAAATGATAAATTATCAAGTCTATTAATTATTTTAGCTCCTAAAATTAATTGTAGGGGTTAAAACTGGTTTTTACTGATGGAACACCTCGCTGCAGTGCTGGGAGCTGGCTTGCTCTCAGCATCCAGCTCTGGACACAAGGAACCTGTGTCCATCCCTGTGGAGGCCACTGCAGGACCATCAGCAATTCCA